TCTAGAACTTAAAAGCAAGATCTTTACACCAATGCCAATTGCCTCTCTAGTATACATTTCTGTTTGTTACTTGTGATATTTAATTTATGACTAATAATTCTTAAGATTCCACTGTGTGTAACCTAAGATGTTTTAAAAGAACTCAAGGCAGTTGAAGGGTGTGTTGGGAAAAAATGTCTCTTAAAATATGCAGAACTGAGATTGAACACTTGGATGACAATCTGGGCTTGGTCAGGAATACTGAGAACCCTATCTTTTACCCATCTCAGTTGGGAGAGCACCAAAACAGGAAACAGAGTTCAAACCTTATTTATCTACTAGCTTACTTGTTCTCCTTGATTTGTTTCTATGTTGAGTGAACTACTTTAAAAAAATCATTATACACAATCTAAACTTCACCATTAAGACCACCAGTTGTCACTTGCAGATACCAATGTCTAGTTTGATTTCCATGTTCAGAGTATCCGATTATTTTAAGGCATGTTATCTGCCCCTTTTGTTTATGTGCTGACTCCACCCCCACCCCCACTGCCCACAAAAAAAACCAGTTTGTCATTTGACTGAAATAATTATGTTTTATGTTCAAGACAGCTCACCTCCATGTAGGAAATCATGGCATTTACTGGTAGATTTTATGCATTTATATGAACTATCTCCTCAAACTGGAACCTATGGCAACATACAAGTTTTAAACAAAAAACATTTAAAGAGTAAAACACAAACTATAATATATAAAAACTATCCCATTCCTACTATTTTGGACAACTATATACCAGTAACTTATTTACCATTCGTTACCAAGAACCTGGAATGGGTGGTGGCCAAACAACTCCAGAGATTTTTGGATAAAGCTGATTTTCTAGATCCATTTCAATCTGGATTCAGGCTGGGACATGTGATGGAAATAGCTTTAGTTGCCTTGAGTTGCCTTGAGAGCAGAGAGCTGGACAGGGGGAGTGTGACCCTGCCAGTCCTTCTGGATCTCTCAGCGGCTTTCAATACTATCAACCATGATATCCTTCTGGAGTGACTTGCGAGGATGGGACTGGGAGGCACAGTGTTGCAGTGGTTCGTCTTTCCTTTTGGCCCACTGCCAGAAGGTGGTGTCGGGTGGGGAGGTCCTGCTCAGCCCCATGGTCTGTGGACTGTGTGGTCCCGCAGGGCTCATCCTTATCCCCAATGTTGTTTAACATCTACATGAAACCACTGGGAGAGATCATCCAGAGGTTTGGAATTCAGTATCATCCATACGTGGATAATGCTAATCTCTATTACTCCTTTCCAACAGATGCCAAGGAAGTCGTTCCACACCTGAACCAATGCTTGAGGTTGGTAATGGACTGGATGAGGGTAAACAAATTGATGCTTAATCCAGATAAGATGGAGGTACTGCTGGCCTTGCATAAGATTGATCCGGAAATAGGGTTACAACTTGAGCTGGATGGGGTTACACTCCCCCTGAAATCCCAGGTTTGGGGATGATTCTGGATTCTGCCTTAAATCTGGAAGCCCAGGTGGCAGGGTAACCAGGATTGCCTTTGCACAACTAAAACTTGTGTGCCAACTGCACCCATTCATGGAGAAATCTGACTTGGTCACTGTGGTACATTTGGACTACTGTAATGTGCTCTACATGGGACTGCCCTTGAAAAGTGTTACTTACCAGGTTACTTACGGAAGTTGATTCCAGGAAGCACACCACTCCCCTGTTGAAACAGCTCCATTGGCTCCTGATTTGTTTCTGGGTCCAATTCAAGGTGCCGGTTTTAATCTATAAAGCCCTGCATGACTACCAGCCTGTATAGGGCGTCCGTGACCCCTATACGGGCCAGTAGACCTCTAAATTGTTTTTAAATTGTTTTTAAATGGTGTTCAATTTTAGCCTGTTCTTGTAAGCCGCTCCGAGCCCCAGGGGAGTGGCGGCATATAAGTTCAAATAATAAATAAATAAATAAATAAATAAGGTCTAGTAAGGAGACCCTGATTTTTACACAGTCCCTGGCCAACATCCACTTAAAAATCACTAGAGAAGGGACATTCTTGGGGGCGGCTTCTAAGTTGTGGAACTCACTGCGAGAGGAAATTAGATTGGTTCCCATCATCATGATATAAGAAAGACATGAAGACTTTCCTCTTCGAAGCAACTGAAGCCAGTAAAAATGAATTCAAAAGAATGGGAATTTTAGGCTAAAATTTACTTTTAATGTTTAATAATGCGGAAAGTTTTAAAGAATTAGTGAACCTCTAATATTTGTATAGTTATGTTTTTTAATTATTTGTATGTCTGATATAATGTGAGCCGCTTTGGGTTCATACTGGAGAAAGGCAGCATAGAAATCTCCGTAACAAATAAAATAAATACATTGAATTAAAAGCAATCCAACACACAATTAAAAAGCACAGAATCCTTCCTCAACAGTCATTAAAAACTTGACCTGCTGACAAGGCTAGACAATCCCATATCAAATGTCTTGCCTGGCCCGATCTGCAGCTACTGCATTCTGCTGACTGTAATTACAGAGCTCTATTAGACTGGGAACCTTGTTTAACATGTAAGACTTAGTAATTATGTTCACTTAAACACATTGACACCACTTTTAGATGCCTTTCATATCAACATTTGGTGGGGAAGTGGAAAGGGCAGGTCAAAAGCGTGGTTCCTTGGTATTCTGTATGAGGCTTAGGAAAAATGAACTAGAACTAGATCCTCACAATTATCAAAATGGGTGTACCTACAATCAAGATGTCTTCAAAATAACATGTGAAGATGTTTATAGTGTCAAAGAGGGAGACAGCTTGCATAGCATCATCTGACACTGCTTCTCCTAGAGGAAATCCAAGAGATGACTCACTAGGACTCCTTCTACACTGCCATATAATCCAGATTATCAAAGCGGATAATCCACATTATCTGCTTTGAACTGGATTGTATGAGTTTACACTGGCATATAATCCAGTTCAAAACAGATAATCTGGATTTTATATGGAGGTGGAAGAGGCCTAGTTCCTGCATGAAAGACTATCTAATGAAGGAGAGTCTGCCCTTCCTACAGATGATCGGCTTTGTTTTTGAACAGCTCTTATCATGAAGAGGTTTTTTCCTGATGTTCAACTGAAATCTGTCCTCCTATAATTTGAAGACATTTACTCTAGTCTGTGGCAAAAATGATTTTGCGAATAACTTCAGGTCCTGGACTTTAATAGCTTGCGATTCTGGGAGCTGTTGCCTAAATCATGAAGTTGCAAAGTTCTGCAGTAACAAGACTGTTATCATTCCCATTCCCCTTCATCAGGATAAACATGACGAATTCTTCAAACTTTTCACATAGGACTTCTTTTTGTTCTGCTGTCCATATGTGAAAATGTTCTTCCTTCCTTATGTTCCAATTCAGCTTTATCTGTCAAAGTCAGGGATGAGCACAGTATACTGTAGCCTCCATTGACCCTAGCCAGCATCACCAACCTGAGAGTTGCAGTCCAGCAGCATCTGTAAGGGCCCAATTTGCCTGTTCTAAATGTACAGTGCCCAAAATTGGATATTGTGCTACAGCAGAGTTCCCCATATGTCAGAAAAAAAAGAGAGAAGAGAAATAGAAAGGGTAAACACAGAACAAAAAACCAAGTAGACTGGAGTGTCCAATATCCACAGATATCAACTCAAGATCTTCTGTTACATCATGCTGTGCAGGAAGGCATTCTTCCATTCTTCTATTTCTAGCTTCAAGGCTGTTATTGGGGGACTGCTCTGATAAGGGTATTAGCTGCAATATTGTCCTCCACTGTCTTCTTCTGTGAGTTTTTAATTCACACTTTGAATTCTTTGTGCTTTCATGAGGTACCCATGGTTCCTCATGCATTAAATATTTTTCTCAGAATTTCTGATGCCAACTCTTGAGACATAAAAACTCTGTACTCCATGCAGATTGTAGGACACACTTACAACTGCTATAAAGCAGACATATGTTCAGCAATTCACACAGAAATACACGTTTCATTCTACAAACACACTGAATACAATCTGATGATTATCTACACCATAGTTCAGGATTCCCGAAACCTATCTTTACAATTTCAGCAGTATGTATGTACACAGTATGACCTCTGTATCTGATGAATCCTGAAACTATGGATAACATTGAACCCTATAGTTTACCAATACTTGGATCAGAAACATATAATAAAATAACACTGGAGAAGCTAGGGAGGTGCACAACACTTCCAGGACATTTGCTCTTTTTTTTCCTTCCCTTTTTTGGTGCTGGTTATTGACCTTATTTATTTATATCCCGCTTTATCTCTGCTGCAATATTATTAGTAATATTATATTATTACATCTGATTGTATTGTACTATATTACTCTACCACTCTCTACATGTATTGCCATGTTTAAGTAATAATGCTGATTTTGGTGCGTCCTCCCTATTTGTATTCTTATTCTTATTTATTTAAATACCCTTTTCCAAAATTGTTGTATAATTTTACAGGATCACTATATATGAAAATATGAGCCTATTTCCTGACAGCCTCTCCAGTACTGATTTAAGCATTTTTATCTATCTGATTTAATCTAATCGGGATCAAGTACCATATCCATACCGTTTTGTAATAGTTTTCCTTAATTATTATGGACATATTTTTATTTAGTAATCGCATACGCCATACCCTGGCCCATTCTTGATTCTCCCACCGGTATATTACACGATTAGTATAATAAATATGTATGTTCCTGTGAAAGGGGCCTTGGGAGCGCTATGGATCCCAAACTGAACCTGAGCCAACAGAGGAATCTCGCGTTGTTTGAAGGAGAAACAGCTTGGGTGGCGTAGTCGAAGATCTCGGACTTGCCGGCCCCTTTAAGAAACGCGGTACTTATTTCCTCATTGGTCTGAGCCAGGACCAATCAAATTCCAGTTCTCTTCTCGTTCTTCAACCTGATTGCCTGCTTCCTTTTGGACGTCAGCTCTGCTCTCCGCAAAATCTCCCTTCCGACTTCGGCATCTGCTGTAACCAGTAAAGCAGTTCGCCGCGCTCTCTTCGGGGTGGTGGATTCCCATTGGCTGAGCAGCGCGCGCATGCGCCGGCCGGGAAAAAGAAGCCTGAAACTCTCTTCCTTCCCGGAGGAGCCGCGGTCTGAGTTTGCCAGAGCCGTGACGTCACCTGGGTCCGCGCGACGCCTTCCTCGTGTCGCGTGCGTGCGTGCCTGGTCGCCCACCTGACCCCCTCCCTCCCCCGCCTCGCGCGTTTTCTCCTCACCCAACATGGCGGCGGGGGCCGTGGAAGAGCCGTTCCCCTTCCAGGGGCTTCTTCCCAAAAAGGAGACCGGCGCGGCCGCCTTCCTCTCCCGCTACCCGGAGCATGACGGGCGGGGGGTGCTGGTGGCCATTTTGGACACGGGGGTAGACCCCGGCGCCCCGGGGATGCAGGTAAGCGGGGCGGGCGTGACCTGTTGGTGGGGCTGCTTTTGGCTTGTCTGAGGGAAGAAGTTTGAGGTCAGGAGGGATTTATGATGACTTCTGAGGGTACAGTAGGGAATTTTCTTGGGCCCTCAGAGGAGTAATAGTGCCTGAAATGGTCCGAATTTAGTCGTTTGTAGAAACGAGCCGCAACCACAGGGAAAGCCCTGCTGAATCCAGCCAAAGGCCTTTCAAGCCAAGCATCCTGTTTCTGACACAGGTTGAGGGTTTTCTGAAATGCTTGGGAAATCCACCAGAAGTGTAGATTTAACCTTATATTTTATTAGTATCGGTGTCTGTCTTTGATCTGTGTATATTTAAATCTATGCACTTTTTTCTGGGTTTTGCATTTTATCTGAGGTTTCACCATCCTGTACCCTGTCTCAAGCCATGAAAAGAACCGCTTAACAAGGAAAATGTACTATTAATATGTGATTTCAGATTATTGTTGTTGTTATTATATGGATCTCCCGGTGGCGCTCACTCACTGTCCCGGTGGCGCTCACTCGCTGACACTCGCTGGAACACCCCAGCAAGCGAGAGTCCAAAAGTGGCAGGCCCAAACCCAGCACCTCAATTCATGGGTGATACCAGATGAGAGACTCCCCCCTGGGCACTCAGAAGACTGGGCGACTTGGAAGGCGCTGAACAGACTGCGCTCTGGCACCACGAGATGCAGAGCCAATCTGAAGAAATGGGGCTACAGGGTGGAATCCTCGGCATGCGAGTGCGGAGAAGAACAAACCACTGACCACCTGCTGCAATGCACCCTGAGCCCTGCCACATGCACGATGGAGGACCTTCTTGCGGCAACCCCAGAGGCACTCCAAGTGGCCAGATACTGGTCAAAGGACATTTAACCAAATACCAAATTTACAAAATCTGTGTGGTTTTTTTTCTTTCTTTCTTTTTTCTTTCTTTTTCTTTTTAATCTCTGTGTTTGTTTTGCTCTGTTAGAATTGTAATACAATGGTTGCTGATGACACGATAAATAAATAAATCCCGGTGGCGCAATGGGTTAAACCCTTGTGCTGGCAGGACTGCTGACCGAAAGATCGGCGGTTTGAATCCAGGGAGTGGGGTGAGCACCTGTCTGTCAGCTCTAGCTCCCCATGCGGGGACACAAGAGAAGCCTCCCACAGAATGGTAAAACATCAAATATATATATTGGCATTGAATCTTGCCATTATTTTTTGTACACCGCTTTGAACCCCCCCCCCCCAGGAGTGAGAATATAAATGCAGTAAATAGAGAAATATCCGGGTGTCCCCTGAGCAACATCCTTGCAGAAGGAAAAATCTCTCACACCAGAAGCGCCTTGCAATTTCCTAAGTTGTTCCTGACACAAAAACATTATTATTATTTTGGGTTACCTGTATTTATTCACATCTACATGATGAAAGATTTCTGGGATGTGATCCAAGTCTAAACATAACATTCATTTATGCATGTTATGTTTAAACACATAGCCTGGGGGTAATTGTATATGCTACATTTGTAATAATTTAGTGCATGGAACAAAGCTTGTGTACACTGAACCATCAGGAAACAAAGGTGTCACTATTTCAGCTCCCCATGTGGATGATTTTGCATCTCAGAGTATTTTGGAATCCCAGAGAAAGCATGCTCATGATGTCTGTAGTGGGAAGCTTGCAAGCATAACGTGAATTGTCTTGTTTTGTAGTGTCCTCTGAAATTGTTTCTTTGGATACAATACCACTGAATTGTGGAGGTAGCACATTATGTTTGGAGGCACTAACAGAATTATTGTTGTAATTGAAATAAAGGTTCTGCAGGAACCTGGTTTATTGTGCATATGTAAGCAAATCATAGATTTAGCATGACACCCAGAGGCGATAGGATAGAGGTTTCCAAATATTTCATGTTGGTGACACACGTTTTAAACACATATCATTTTGTGACACAGTAATTCAGTTTTACTGTCAAACCGGAGTTTAAACCAATTCCTGATAAGAGATACAGGTACATACATAATTTGGAATAACAAAATGTATATCTCATATTTATTTTTATTTCACATAAACACAGAGGTTTCTCATTATTTTCGTGCAACACATTTACACACTACAACCAACACATAGTTTGGAAAGTTCTGCAGTAGAAGAATACTTTTCGAACTTGAAATACTTTTGCCCCAAGTATCTGATCACCTCAGTTAACCTTTTGGCAGGTGTTGGCAGAGGACTGCATTGACATTTGGCTTCCTCTGGTTCTATAGGCTTCATTTTGTTCATTCCTGTGCTGAACATATCCTGAAAGCCATGTTTTCTTTGCTTACTTTCAGCAAGTGAGTGCTTTTGGACCAAAGGATTCAGTATGCTAGTTCATGTATAACTAGCTTGGATTCTGCTACTAATAGTGGTGTCTGCAAAAGCCTGTAGAATGGTAGAAAACAAATGTCTTTTTTAATGGCAAAATGAAATCACTTGGGTTTGTTGCAGTGGAAGAGCTTGTGGTTGCATTAAGATGCTTGAAGAATGACCAGAAATTTTGTTTTGGGGCAGATTTAAAAATGTATCATTTTTTAGTTGTAGGAATGCCACCCTCTCGTAAACACTTTATTCATCTTCCTAAAGAAAATCATTCCACAACAATCTGTTCATTTTTCCTTCTATTTTTAAATGGCATCCTGGAGAGGGAGGATATTTTATAGACTTTCACAAATCTATGTGATGTCATTTCAGTGAGCAAAAGCAAACCAGTTCTTTCTTAGTAGGGATTGGGTCATATCCTCTAACTATAGTTATGCTTACTGTGTATTATGAATGAGGTTTTTTGTAGTGTTGGCTGCTAATCAGAATTAGATCAAGGGAACACCTTGTTTCCACCCTGAGGAGGAAGGAGTATACATTTTTTAATATGTGGGAGCATGACACCAAAGGATGTTTGCTTTTGTGAAGTCAGTGTTCAGGCAGCAGTGATGATTATAATGTTTGCCACTTATAAGGGTGGATAATACATTAGATGTGCTATTAAAGAAACATATTTCTGCCTGTAAATGGACTGAAATTACTGTATATAGTGTGTAAGTTAACCTCTTGTGTAAGTTGAGGGCAGATTTAATTATGGATTTTGATTTTATATGATCTGTGGATAAGTTGAGGGTCATTCTGGGGAGAGAGATAAAGCACCAAGTGCCTCATTGAGATCAGCTGCCAGTGGCTGTCACTACCATTTTACCACCCAGGAATTCAAATAGGCCTGATCTATTACTAGATATTTATTAGGTCTGTTGGTTTACTTGTGGTTTTGCTGCAGTTTATCTCAGGGATAGTATGAGCTCCTTCCCTTTTTGGCTGCCAAGAGCGGGAAGGTAGCAGTTTACTTGTGAGTAAGCAAATCGACCATCTCGCCTCAGTTGCCTAGGCTTATCTCCTATCTCACCTGTTGCTCCAATTGCTGTTGCTTTCCCCTGCTCAGATCAGAAGACCCTGGGCTCACACTTCTATTCCGGCCCTGTCTTTTGTGATAGGTGGCAATGCACTCCTCTGTCTCCCATGTTGCAGGACAGCCATGGAGACTCAAGGGCTATCAGCTGCATTCTATAGTGAGAAGAGCTCTGAGTTCGGTTCTGCCAGCATGGTGAGTCCTCCAAAGCTAGAGAGTCAAAGCAGGAGTACTAGTTTGAGACGTCTCGTTGGTTACGAATGGGATGGTGGCAATGGGTAAAGAAAATCAGCACGAGTAAAGGAGACGTAATCTTCCATTTGCTTATTCATGAGTAAAACACCTCTTTCGTCCTTTGAGCAGCCCAGAGGGACCTTAATTTGTCTCTGAAAAACCTCAGAAAAGAACTGCCCACCTCTGTTCTTTTTAGTGCTGAATTGGCAAAGAGCTGCCACCTCCATAATTTTTCAGTCCAGAAGGCTTGAAGTATTGCTGCGATGGAGATCCATGTTTAAGTTGACTCATGTTTTCTGGATCAATTTTTTCAGTTTCTTTTCTTCTTATATCTCAATATATACAGTAATTGCTTGTTATGAGATTGCAGTGTATATTCTTTCCAAGGAAGTAATATCTATTAGCAAATAGATGTGGGTGTCTTCTTTTCCAACATATGATGAAAGCCAAATATCTGGCACAGTAGGATGCAGTCCATTAGGCTTCTAGTTAATAAGGAAGTGTAAAGTACTTCATGAAAGTTCATTCTTTAGTCTTACTGTAGTAATGGTCTTCTTGTCTTTGATAATGAAGGTTTCTTCAACATTTGGTGTATTTTGAAAGCATTAAGCAGATCTACCTCTGTGTGAGCATTTGACCTGCCATGTAGTTAATAGAACTAAAGCAGCCTTGTTTCTTAAACTGTGAGTGGGTTGGTTTCACAGTTTTGAAGAGATGAGAACACCACTAGAAATGTTGAACACCTGAGTTCATGTAAATGGATAAAGGGCAAGCATTTGGGATGATTATGGAGGGTGTATTCAAATTAGTTGTATTTCTGCTCTGTTGAAATCGTATCTAGGAAAGCTTGTCATGAGACTTAATTATTGATGTTGCTAGTATGATTGCTGGGCTTGCTGCACAGTTTATCCTCTGGTCGGGCTTGCTGCTACACCTATCCTATCTTGTTAAGATCTGTGCTCATTTTGGCTTAACTTCCCACCATTAGAGTCGACCATATCCTGTTTGTCTCTCACCCTGATAGTATCACTTCCTATTTCGGACTAATACCTGTGGTTTCACCTATCCTGTCAAGGAATGTTCTAGGTCCCGTAGACAATTCTATGGTGTGTTTCTGCCAAAGATTACCATAGAGTGCCCTGGGAACCTATAAAACTCCCAGAGAGGTGACATCTGTTGGAAATAGTTTATTTCAATAGAATTCACAATTTTCCACGTGTTCTTGTTTCCACAGTATGTTCAGGAATAAATGGCCTCCAGATACAGGGATCATAATATTGACAAAGCAGTCAACATGGATAAATGGGCAACTAGGAACTAGTGGCCCTTTTTTTTTGTGTGTGTCAGGAGGAACCGCTCCTGTTGTGAGAGAATTGGCTGTCTGCAAGGACATTTCCCAGGGGATGCCTGGATGATTTTTTGATGTTTTATCATCCTTGTGGGAGGCTTCTCTCATGTCCCCGCATGAGGAGCTGGAGCTGATAGAGGGAGCTCATCCGCCTCTCCCCGGATTCGAACATGCGACCTCTGAAGACCGACAGGGCCACTAGTTCCTAGTTGCAATTGTATTACCAAGTAAGCAGGCTAATATGATAGAAACCTGTAAATGTACTTAACAGAGGAAAACTGTGACAAAACCCATATTCAGGGATTATACCAATAAAGTATGTGTGCTAGGGAGTCCCCGATGGCGCAGTGGGTTAAACCATTGAAATTCTGAACTTGCAGACTGAAAGGTCGCAGGTTCAAATTCAAGGAGTGGGATGAGCTCCCGCTGTTATTGAGTAGATCAATAGGTACCGCAAATGTGAGTAGATCAATAGGTACCACTTCTGTGGGAAGGTAACAGCGCTCCATGCAGTCATGCTAACCACATGACCTTGGATGTGTCTACGAACAACGTCAGCTCTTCAGGTTAGAAATTGAGATTAACCCCAACCCCCAGAGTTGGACACAACTGGACTCAATGTCGGGGGAAACCTTTACCTTATGTGTGCTAGATTGCATCACAAAAGACCTTCCAGTAGGTCCTGAAGACTCACCTGTTTGTTATGGCCTGTAGTTGAGTTTAGATTCTGTTGATGCTGAATCTTTTACTGTCAGCTTTGGTTCTTTTTATCATTTTTTATGTTTTCTAATGTCAGGCTTTTCTGAGAGAATATCTAGGATGCTGGCTTATAGTTGGGGTTTTTTTTAAGTTGTAAGAATCTGATACCTTTTAACCAAACTAAGCAATATTTTTAATGCTGAGTATATATATTTTTCAGGTGTAGCCGTCATAGAATATTAATCTTTTTGCTAATTGAATCTTCTTTGATTTATTGCATTTTTAGATTACAACTGATGGAAAACCTAAGATAATTGACATAATAGATACAACAGGCAGTGGTGATGTAAATACTTCAACTGTTGTAGAAGTAAAAGACGGAGAAATCATTGGTCTTTCAGGAAAAACTCTGAAGGTAACGTTTATTTGAAATTATTTTATATGTACTCCAGTATAGGCCTAATTTTTCAGCAATTTTTAATGCTGAAAAAGGCCCCCTTGGCTTATACTCAAGTGAGGTTCCTGGCAGGAAGGCGTGGGGGCTGGAAGAAGCCCTTTGCAGGGCTTCTACCAGCTGCGTGCCTCCTCCCCTTTTGGCACAGCAGCCAAGCTGGATCTTTTGCTGAGAGACGAGGAGAACAAGGCACACAACCTCTCCTCTCTGCACAGCAACCCAGCTGTGTTCCTGTGCTGAGGGGAGAAGCTGTATGTCTTCATTCATCTAATTTTATTGGCATCTGTTTTTATTTTGAAAATTACCAGTAGCTGCTGCATTTCCCACCCTAGGCTTTTACTCGAGTCAATAAGTTTTCCCAGTGGTAAAATTAGATGCCTCTGCTCATATTCAGGTCAGGTTATACTGGAGTATAATGTTCAATATGATGAGTTAAATTTGAGACCATTTATGTGGACCCCAAGCAAAATAGTGATGATCACTAATAGCTAGTGGCCTTGATATGCTTTGTAGTTCCTAGTTGCAATTGTATTATTTGAATGTCTGCGTTTATGGGAAACTGTGCAGCTGAAAATACAGTTGACAAGGTTAAAATGAGTCATTTCTGGAATTAATGCCAACATAGTCACATTGGAACAACTTGATTTTTTGTACATTTTCACCAATTTAATGGTCAGATATCAGATATTTTCTTCTACATGTTGTTGGGATATTAAATAAATAAGTGTAGGCCCAGCCATTTGTCTAAATAGGAACACAAAGATACTGTATTTTCTTTCTACCATAAGAGCAAGTAGTAGTTTGATAGCTATAGTGTATGTAAGAAACTGAAATAAAACTGTAATACGTGAGGTCAAACAAAGAATATACACTTAGTTCTCTGAGCTGAGAACAGCAGGAGTGTCATTTTTAATCTTTATTTTTTTGAGAAAATCTAATAATTTGTATCTTGGTTGCAGCCCTATTAATAGTTTCAATGGGGTAAATACCACTGAAAATAGTTGACTTTAATTAGGACTGCATATGCATAGAATTTGGCAGTTGATAGTACTTTTAAGTGTGACATGACTGACCGGTTGAGATTAATAAAGTAGATAATGTGAGCAAATTATTGAATTGCTTCCCGTTTTCAGATTCCAGCTGACTGGATAAATCCTTCGGGGAAGTATCACATTGGCTTAAAAAATGGTTATGACTTCTATCCTAAAGCTCTTAAGGAGAGAATACAGGTAATGCAGCTTTATATCTTTGTTTAATAACCCTCATCTTAATTCTTTTATTGTTGGTAGAACCAAAGCACATTTGACACCACATGAAAAGCCTTAAGACTAAACTTTAAGCTCCATATTATCTTTCCATGCTGTGATTGTGTTACCTGTTTGTAGTTTCACCTGCTGAGCTATACTTTGTGCTGTTTGAACTGTATTGTTGGGCTTTATAATCAGAAACACAGAAAAAAAGATGTAGATATATAGGGCATAGGTATACTGTTAATTGTACAGATTTGTATCATTTTAAATTTCCCAAATATGCCAAATAGCAGAATTTTATATAGTAAGTTATAAATGAAACACTGCCTAAATATTAAAATAACTTACATTTGGTTTGAAAATATGACTTCAATGCCTTTGGTAATATTACAACTCTATGCCAGGTTCTCTTACACCATTGTTCACCCATTCAGAGATAACACCAAACTGTAGTTTTTATGAGAGAAGAGTCAATAAAACAGTGTATCTATGAGTAAAGTAGGAAATCAATCTTCAATGACTGTACTTTATCTCTCTCCCCCCCCCCCCCCCCCCCCCCCCCCCCCCCGGTCCCAGCACTTACCCCTTTAGCACTGACATGTTATTAGTGGTTTCAGAACAGCATATGGTAGAGAGGTGGGCAAGGTTTCCCTCTTTCAGCAGCATCCTAATCAGTTGCCCTGCCAAAGGTGTTTTGCAGCATCTTGGACCACCTCTGCTTTAATAGTGGCAGAGTTACACAGTGTCCCTTTTTTGCCACTCACAAATTCCTGCCTGAGTTAGTAAGGTGTATATTAGGCATGGGCAAACTTTGGCCCTCCAGTTGTTTTGGACTTCAACTCCTACAATTCCTAACAGCAGGTTGGCTGTTAGGAATTGTGAGAGTTGAAGTGCAAAACACCTGAAGGGCCAGAATTTGCCCATGCCTGGTGTGTATGGAAAATATCAGCATTCTGAAGTCAAGACAATTTATTTTCGGTTACAGAAAGAACGCAAGGAAAAGCTATGGGATCCTGTTCATAGGTTGGCACTTGCAGAAGCCTGCAGGAGACAGGATGAGTTTGAAGCTGCTCATGTATCTCCATCACAGGTTTGTACTGTTAATTGTTTTAAAATGAGTTGCTACATTTTTTGTGACACAGTTAATCTACTTCAGTTGTCAAACAGATTGTTTCTTATTGATGTAACTTTTCTTATTTAAAGAGTGCATCAGTGAAATCCTGTGTATTAGGTTGTGCCTTGCTGAGTGTGATTGGCTCTAAGCACATTCAGTCAGTCTATGTCTTCATTTGCACATCTTCATATGTGGGTCTCATACAGTTCCTTGTGCAATGACTTCTATGCAAATAGATTCATTTAGTTGGATCAGAGTATTTGTTCAGTATATTTTATGCATCTTTATTGCATCTTTCAGGAAAGCAAGCTAATGAAGGAAGAGCTTCAGACTCAAGTGGAGTTGCTGAATTCTTTTGAGAAAAAATACAGTGATCCTGGCCCTGTGTATGACTGCTTGGTGTGGCATGATGGTGAAACTTGGCGGTAATCTCTTATTTTGATCTTTATATTTTATAAAATACTTATTCACCCTTCATTAGTTCTCACTTGTAAAATAATAAATACATTCTATTCTTGTATCTGCATTCTAATTGTATCTGCACTTTTTGCAAGTAGTGTGTCTTAGTAGCTTGTTTGCATATAGCTGGGTCTAGCATAAAAAGGAGGAAGGAAGTGGGAAGAAAAAAATGTGGCATAGCTTTCAGAGTATCTGACTTGGATTTTAGCACAAACTTTTGTGGATATAAACCCATGTCTTTGGGTGCAGTATGGAGTGGTACTAAAGTATAAAGTAAACTATAAAGTATAGTTGCAGGAGCTTGATAGAATATAACAAGATCCTGAAAGATGCAGATCATGACCCTTGCCCTACATTTGCATTCTTGTCATTTAGTAGTGATGTGTGAAAAATGTAAATCAGATCACCAAAATTTTCCCAGGGTTGAAAACGATCCCTGAAAATACTCCTTTTGCTATACGTGCAGTAATGAGGACCATTATATTCGTATATTTAGTATGACATGAAGCTGTTGTCTTTGTTCATATCTTTGCTAAAGATTTGAACCCGTGAATAAATTCAATTTAGCAGGTTCTGTTTCTAGTTCCCCTTTTTAATTTCCTGATTCCAGGACTACAATATATAAAACCCTTAATGCATATGTCTGGGAAGGATGAAATGTTCTGCAACCAATGATCTTAATTCTATTTGGCATCCCCACTTTTTATAATTAGCTGTGTTCTAACTGCTTGTTTGCATACAGCTAGTTCCAGATAGCAACTATATAACCCATGATTAGGACTGTGTATATCATACACAGGCTGCTTTGTAGCTGTAGAGCCCACTCAGAATATAGAAATATGTAGCAAAGCATATCTAAACAGACCCCAAGGCTCCAGTTGTCTGTTTCATTTCTGTCCTGCACCTTTTGAACATTGTGAAATTTTGTTCAAGTCATAAGTTCCTTAGGTTTTATCTACCTTTTCATTGTTTCTGATGCTGCCCAGCATTCAACTTGCTGTAATTTAGCCAGAAAAATAAAATAGCTTATTGAGTCAAAATGAATGTTAAAATATCAACCATAGCAAAATTTAAATAGAATCCTAAACAATGGCAGTATAATAATGGGATCCATAGTGATGGCAACAGGAAAAGACAAAATGCTGTTCTATGTGTCTACAGTAGTAACCAGTCAGGGTAGAAATATAGAACATTGTCTTAGCTGGTATTCTCAGCATGTGGCTCCCAGGAAAGGCTCCCAGGAATGGAAAGGGGAGCCTCGTAAGTTCCCCATTGCTGCCAATGGGCTGTATTTTTCAGGTGAGGACCAAAAAAGGCTATCCGGCTACTCACCCATTTTCAGGTGTGTTTAAAAGCTGATAGCGGGTGTACTGGAATCTGGCCAGCAGAAACAGATCAAGGTTCAACCGAAATGCACAAGCCTAGTACTGACATCCCTGGGACCACATTAGTAAATAAGCTGAGGATCTGATTTTGCAATTTAATCGAAGCAGATTAGTGATTATTTGGGTTTTAAAACTTAAAGAAGGACTACACTCTCTTTAGAAAACAAAATGGATAAATTGTGGCTGTTCTCTTTTCTCTCTGCAGAGCGTGTATAGATGCAAGTGAATCTTGTGATTTCCCTAACTGCACTGTTTTACGAAACTACAGAGAGGCTCAGGAATATGGATCATTTGGCACATCAGAGATGCTGAATTATTCTGTCAATATTTATGATGAAGGGAACCTACTCTCAATTGTGACAAGTGGAGGTAAGATTTATTTTGTGAAGGAGGATTCACAGTTCTGGAGAATCCTCCTTTGTGGCTAATGCATTTTGTAAAATGGAAACTATAATAGAAAATAAAATGAAATGTTACTGCTAATTTCATGGTAGGCAAAGTTTGATTTTATGGTTGCCTCCTTTAGGCGAAACAAAAAGAAGTGATAATGCCTCTCCAGGAGCGGTAATTGGCCTTTAAAATAGGTTATGACCTCCTCTCCTCTTCTTACTTTGTTTAACATCAGAAAGTATCAACTTTTCATAATCTAAAGTGAACTTGAAAACACTAGTAGTATTAATGTTTTGACCCTCAGACCCACCACAGTTATCAACACTTGAACCCCTTAGGTTCACAGAACATCAAGGCATAGGTTCACAGAATATCAAGGATATTTTAGACACTTCTTTGTAGTACTTTGGTTCATTTTTATGGTTAGAATATGTACAAGGATGTCTGAACACAAGGAGTTGTATGTGCATCGTTCATTCTGTACAGTTCTATTTTTGTACTTGTGAAAAAAGATACTTCAAAAGGGAAGCTCATGTAAATAGTCTAAAAAAACTGTAAATATTCCTATTGGTATGCATTATGCTGCCATGGCTCTTTTGTAAGTTACAGTTTCTATGATAAAAGATCTATATGCCAGCAAAAAAAGCAATGTGGTTAATTTTGGAGTTTAATGGAATTGATTGAACAGCTACTTTTGGCAAGAATGCTGTGTTCTTCCAATAATGGACCACATTTATTTTTTCAGGATCGCATGGAACACACGTTGCTAGCATAGCTGCTGGACATTTTCCAGATGAACCAGACCGGAATGGTGTTGCCCCTGGTGCACAGATTCTTGCAGTAAAGATTGGTGATACAAGATTAAGCACCATGGAAACTGGCACTGGTTTAATAAGAGCTGTAAGTATTGATAATTGTTATATTCAAGATTGTTCTGGTGGTCTAAATAATGTTAGCCAGTTGCACAGAGATCGGGAAATCACTTTGTGACACTTTAAAATAACCTGCTTTATGTAGATACTAGTGAAATACCTAGGGTTGCCTGGGTTAGGCATTTTATAATATTTGGACAAAAATTGACAATGTTTGGTTATTGATTTTATGAATGATCCCATTAGAAAGTGCATACCTATATAATGGGACATTTTAAAAAGTTATACAGCTGATGGTCTACAATTTCCATTAATCCCAGATCTGGCAGGATGAAACTCCCATCAGCCCCTGATCTTGCCAGCTGCATGCCGTCAGATCAGGTTTTGGTAGCTTCAATTCCCATTTGCCCCATATATGGCCAAGCCACATGTGGCTTGACTCCAACTCACATCATTTTTAATTATGCCCCTCCCTCCAAACCCCACCAATATTTCAAGGTCGATTGTTATGGTTATATGCACCAAGTTTGGTCAAGATCCATCCTGGGTGATTTTCATGTGGCTCTCCAGACATAGATGCACTCCAAATTCCAACATCTTCTTTCAAGCCCAAGTCCTGGTTGGACTGTAACTACTGCAAGCCCCAGATTTTACCTGGTTTCAATTGCCTTCTGGGCTGCAGCTCCCGTCAGCCCCAGATCTGGCTGGGCCGCAGCTTGGGCCTCTTAACCATTCAGACGGCTTGGCTGTCTTGTTAGAGCAGCCACTTGCATCATCCCCGGCCTGCCTCACAAAGAGGTAATGATTTTGAGAGAGTCAGCCTTGCAAGTAGGCTGATTCATCTGATGGGTTTGAAGGAGATTCATGCTCCCGGTCTTGATGAGAATCATACAATTCTCTGAATGTGGCTGGACTGCAACTCCCACCATCCTCTTACCAGCTCCCCTCAGCAGCATTTTAAGTTTGGTTCAGATCCATCAGGCCATGTAGTAGTCTTTGTGGATCAAACAAACATACATTCATATATACTTTGGCCTTTACATGTATAGATAAGCTTGTGTGAACCCCAGCCACATTCATCCAATATTTATGCAGTGATAAAATTCCTTCAGTCTTTAAACCACACAAGTTGAACCAATGTCCTTTATGGGAAATCTGTTCAGAAAATACATTCCATTCATATATTTCCCAGAACCAGTTCTTGTATTATCACATTTACCATTTTACAAAGCAATATTGGTTTAATACATTTTTAGGATGTGAACAAGTGTATTTCTAAGATGTTTTTGAGAATTTACAACCAAGTAGCTAGCATGAATATGCAAACAGTTGGCTAAAAATAGTTGTGAGCAGCAGCTTCGTCAGCAAAGTGTGAAAGGTCATGATCATTTTGATTCAAAGCATTTTGATTTGGCCTAGAATGCCAAATCTACCCAGCTGAGCTGCTGTTGGGCCCATTCATTTGTTTATTATTTTATTTCAAGTGTTTTTATTATTTTCAGACAAAAGGCTTACCAGAATGACTTATGTAAATTCATAGAAACCTAAAGTAGACATCATTGAATGGCAGACAGATCTGAACCCTTTAGAATGTGTTCTTAGTGTTAAGAAAGGATTGACAGCCAGATGACAGGAGTGTCTGAGGAGAGCACTGCTTTCCGCCCTACTGGCACATTCATAGCCATTTCTTCCATCTGAATTGTCAGGTGCTACTTCTTGCTCCTTTTGGACACGCACCCCACATCTATACAGGCAGCCCCCAAGTTATGAACAAGATATGTTCTGTAAGTTTGTTCTTAAGTTGGATTTTTATGTAAGTCAGAACAGTAAGTGTAACTCCATTCATATGTGTGTGTGTGTACAAGCAAGCTCTGAATAGCATAGGGAAGGGTTAACACCCCCGTGGTGTTTACTTTGTTGTCTGTACACATGTTCAGAAGATTTCACCTCTCTTTTTGTCCCTGTGACAATTGTGTTTTGAAAAAAATGGCTTGTTATGGAAATAAGGATTGTTGATAAAGCTTCAGTTGAGACACCTTTCCCCCATGATGACTCTTCCAGGAGTGAATTTTCCTTCCGAGAGGTAGAGTTCTCACACTTCCTGTTGTCTCACTTCCAGTCGTTTATCAGTCTAATGTTTTAACTCGGAGACTGCCTGTATTTCTAAAAGTCAAAGTGTGTATGTATAGTTCTCCTTTATAGAATAAAGACTTTTGCATGGCTTCATAGATCTGGATTGAACTTGGTATAGATACCCTTCATTGTCCAAAGCTGAAGGAAAGAAAAGAACCAAAGTGGATTGACTATTGCTAAGTGAAGTGGCCCTCTGTGACCTCACTGAGAAAGAAAGAGAGTGACGTAGCTTGGCTGCTGCCTGCTAGGTGACATGTGTATGAGAAGAAGGAAGGGAGGAAAGGGAATGAAAGAAAAAAGAAGGGAGGAACGGAGGAGAAAGGAGAAAGGGTTTGAGGGAAGGAAAGTAATGGAAAGAAGGGAAGGGGAAAAGAAGTGACAAAATAAAAAGAAGAAAGAGGGAAGGAAGGGGAAAAGGTATATGAGGGAAGAAAGAAGAAGAAAGACAAGAAAAGAGGGAGAAGATGTAGGAAGGAAATGAAAAGAAAGTCACAAAGAGTTAGCCCAAAGAGAGTTGCTAGAGTTGCCACAAAGATATTGTGAGACAGGTCTTCTCAGAGCTGGAGAGGGGAGAAAATGGGGTGAGAGGGGGGCACCAGCCCCTTTGATACCTGGACAACGCCAGGTATATACACCAGTGTAATATGCTGTTGTGTTCTGAATTTGCGGGTTGAGAACAATAACGCAGAAAGTACTTCACAAAAATCACTTCTCCCAAGAGCCATTTGTTATTTGTTGAACATCTGCAGCCTCTTTAAAAAAATTGGGTGTGTGCAGTGGATGGAATGAGAAAGGATTTTAGTAATGCCGCAGTATCCAAGTACTGAAATGAAAACTAGAAAATGTTACATGCTAGTGCTGACTTCATAAAATAATAGTGGCTTCAGATTTTAATAAGGATCACATTGAGCTAGACCTGGGTGTATGGCCCAGTCACTTATTACCAATTCCTATATGAAACCATGATTTCTATGTGAAATAAAGGATACACAGATCTTACCATTTTAACACATTCTGCTCTAGAAACTAGTCTTCAACGTTCTTCAAGACCGTATTCTGGAAATGTAACCATAAATGAAATGGACACATCTGCTCTTAATCATCAATATCCGATACTTGGTAACAAATGAGTTCATTGTATAGTTGCAGACAGCGCCTCTAGATGCTTAGCTTAGTGTTTAATTATTTAATTTTAACAGATGATTGAAACAATCAAATACAAGTGTGACCTTGTCAACTACAGTTATGGAGAAGCAACCCACTGGCCAAATGCTGGGTGAGCATGTTACACTTTCATTACTGTTACTTTGTTCTGGGACACAAATGGCTAACCCCCTTCTATCTAGGATACTGGCTTTAGGGACCAGCTAGATTGCTGTGTCTCTTGACTTACATAAAGCTCTGCAAGAGGATTGTCGTGATGTGGACCCCTGGGTCTTTCCATTTTTGAAAACTGGGAGCATGGTTGGGACAGCAGGGTTACCACATTGTAGGAAGTCAAAGAAATGAAAAATAGTAGGGGGAAATCAGAAAATGCAGTCAGAAAGTACAAGTATTATGATTAGGAATTACGCCAATGTAATGGATATTTTGAGACGCCACTGTAAGAGGGCATTCTAGGCTTGTGATATTTGAAGTGAGTCATGAAATAAAAATACAATGCACTTCCAAACATATTACTTAGTATGTTTATATTATTTTGAAAATGTGGATATTTTGACAAGAGTCAGTAAATAATAGTTGGTCATACTTAGTGCCCAGCATTGCCACTATTTGGTTGCAACCAAAGTAAAAAGGTGAGATAGGTTTTAAAATCATACCTTATATGCTTTTAAATATCAAATAGATTTTTTCTAAAACAGAATATTTGATTCATCATTATATACAGCTCTGTATAGAGAGCGAGACTTCGTTCTATACTTCTGAATATTTTTTGGGGGGAAATGGACAGAAATAATCAACAAAAAGTCTAAAAATCACTTTCATGATGTTCCAGAGAGCAATAATTTATTTTTATTGCAGTGTTCTGTCTCTGCATGTTCCTTGTAGACCAGTTGAGTTTATAGCCAGAAGCAGATACAATTATGTTAAGGAATAATTGATTTCAGACTTCAGAGTTTACCTAGAAGCCACTCTGGAAAAGGCAAAGCAGTGAAACAATAGTGACAGAAGAAGGAATGAAACAATAGTGATGAAACATAGAAAATAGAGTGGATGCTTCAAGATCTTGAGCCATAAGAACACAAGAACCTAAGTCCTATGTTGGGCCAAAAGCCACCTAGCCCAGCATTGTGCTTCTACGGCAAATTAGCATAGGAAGGCAATGCATTAGACTCATCAGTGCACTAGATGTGTCCGTCAGATACACATATAGGAAGTAAATTGCAGGAATAGTCAATCAGTGGAGTACCTTAAAGGATTACAGTTTGCAGAGCTGTTGACGGTAACCTTGTTCTACTCCTGTAATGCTTTTTCACAAAAATGTGCTAGATCTTGTACTTACTTACTTACTTAGGATTAGTGTGAATTCCAGGTGTCGTGGGACTGGAACTCCAGTTCCTTATCACTGGCAGTATATGACACTGAGAATTTCAGTCCCATCAACACACTGAGGCAAGATTCTGCAATAGAGGAATTACACACATTTTTATTTAGACTTGTCTCACTATTTTTAATTCTAGTCGCTGGCTTAGAGACTGCAAAACACTTACAATAGTCAGGAAAATGACATTTTGGCTATATTCTTTAAGGCTTCTTTATTAATTAACAAAGTTGCTCATATGCTATCATGTTTTTGAAACTGGGACATTTATTGCCAAGAGGTTGACAATACACTGTAAACAATAAAGGGGGCGAAGTGCACTGTGAGGTTGCAGTTTTAAAAGACTGAAGCCTGTAGAGACCTCTGAAATGCCCACCTCTGTGAATGTATTTTTCCCCAAGGGGAGGTAAAATAGAAGTAAAAATGATCCAATTAACTACTTTATACTTTTTTAATATCTTCCAGGAGAATATGTGAAGTGATTAATGAAGCTGTATGGAAACATAATGTAATCTATGTTTCCAGTGCTGGTAACAATGGGCCTTGTCTGTCTACAGTAGGATGTCCAGGTGGAACTACATGTAGTGTGATTGGCAAGTATTTTATGTAATACCCTTTATAAAATGCAGCAGAGTTCATGTTTTACTTGAGTCTGGAAGTGGTAAATATAAGGACTGCTGTGCTGTATCAAACCTGTGGCATATCTAGCCCTGGTTCTTTTTGCATGATTATCAACAAGATGCTTGTGGGATGCCCAAGAAGCAAGTTATGAATGTAGCAACTCCATCTCTTGTTCCTCAGCAAATGATATGCAGGGACATACTGATATTGGTGATAATATATGGCTTTCATGATTAGCACCCTATTTGATATACTCTGTAAATTTATCTAAACCCGAAGTTGACAATTATCACTACATTTTCAAGTAGCAGATTTTATAGCTTAGCTGCTTTTGGTGAAGTGGATATTTCTGAATGTGCTAAATGTCCCATTATTTGGTTTCAGTCAATGATCTTTGTATTATGAAAATGGAAAGAATAGTCTGCCTGTCCTTCCTCTCCACATCAGGCTTAACTTTATATTTTATATTCTTTTGTATCCCCCTTCTGTACATTGCATTTGTACCATGGTTTGTTGAGATCCAGTAGACCAACATTTAAGTAAATACATCAGCTGGCATCCAGTTCAATAGTTCCAAGATAGTTATCTCATAATTTTTGGGATTCACGTTTATATTTATTAAATGACTAAACATAACCCCTCCACTACTTTTCAGCCAAGCTATACTCCAATCAAAGTGTTTCTGAAGCACTGCAAATTGGAGCACTGCAGCATTCTCCTGGTCGTGAAATATGCTGAGAGAAGCAGTTTTAAGAGAACCACAAAGGGTTTCTCTATCTGCTTTGTCGCAATTTGTCCTGTGACTCAAAGAGTACTACAGATGTCCTTTAACAACCATTAACATGAGTCTCCAAGGGCCAGCTGGAACAAATAGATTTTATCTACCTTCCAGGTCCCTAGAAAAGCCTCTTTGAGGAGGCCAGTTCCCACGTTTCCAACAGATAGACCTGTAATGATGGCAGGACAGTAAAAAGGGCCTTCCCAGAATTTTTCAAAACATGAGCAGGCTCACATGGGAGAATATGATGTTTCAGATAAGTCCTGTAGAGCCTTTATAGGTCAGAACCAGCACATTAAATTATGCCTGAAAACAGACTGGTAGCAGTGGAGTATGTTGCAGCAAGAAAACTTTGGGCTCCCTGTACCCAACCCCTTGTCAGGTTGTAGTGTTGGGCATCAAGTTACAGATCTCTGTGCTCCAAAGTGTTGCTGACATTCTTTATTTTGTAAATGTCACTGACCTAAATGGGTAACCAACTGAAATTTGAAAGTGTACTGACTACTTTTGCAGGTGTTGGTGCCTATGTGTCACCTGAGATGATGGTTGCTGAATATTCACTGAGAGAGAAATTGCCTGCAAATCAGTATACTTGGTCATCTCGGGGACCTAGGTAGGAATGTGCTGATTCATGACCAATTACATGTGTTGCATTATTTTTATGATCAGTTCAACTCTGAATTGAACCATGTTTGTCCTCAAGGGCTACATGTAGTACGGGTTAATGGGTTTGGTTTACATGTACATGCATGTACCCTCTTTCTTGTGGAAATTCCATTTCTTCGCCTTGTGAGGACTAGGAAATGAAAAGTAGTGATCATTCAGATTGCAGTTTTCCATGCTGTTCTCAGCAGCAGAAATGTGGATTAATCTACAGCCCATGTTGTGATCAAGAGCTGTATGGGAGCCACAGGTTGCCCATGCATCATCGAACATCTCCAAATATAAGGGGAAGAATGCTGATCAGAAGAATCATTCTGATCTTAGGGTATCAGCTCCTGAGTTAGTCTTCAAGCTTCAACCCTGAAAAATAATTCTTGCCTTTTAGAATTGTAAAATGCCGCAAGTAATCTTGATAAAACATTGTTTTATTCATTCAGTATCTTTTCTTTAAAAATGGCAGCTCACATCATAAATTAAAAGAAATTACAGCATTAAAAACACAAATTATAATAAAAAGTTTTAAAACAATATACCCTATTGAGAAATTATTTTGAAACACTTAAAACAGAACTACATAAACAACATGAGAGCACATCCACTTCATAAAAGACCCTTCTGTGACAGTTAGTCTTCAACAGCTAATCAGAATACAATTATTTGCCAAAAGGTGCATATTTGACAAAACTGCATACTAAACTGTAAGAAGAGATGCCCACAGTAATGTGTAGAAATCTTGGTATAGATTTTTTAAATCACATTGATGCAAAATAAAACATATTCAGGATGAGAAAAATGAGCAAGATAGTAGGAGAACAAACCCTGGAGGGAACTTAAAGAGAGCGAGAGCAGGAGAAAGACAGGAAACTAAACATGATAGGTGGTGGATATATAACATTCAGCTATTTTTGAGTAGCAGCTTATTAATTGAAGTAATTGCTTGATGAGGCAGTTGTTACTTCCTGTCAAATTGTAGGACCTTTCGCTCAGTGGAGGTCCAAATGCAAAATACATTGTGTTCAGTTTAAAATGAGGTAATTTAAAGAATCTCATTCAACAGTAGTTACAAAAAGCACATTGCAAGATTTTGCAGGACTCAAATGGCCCTAGATAGTTTCATATGTTCAGATAAGGCTATAACCATTTGAGAAGACAGATATGTGCATTGTTCACTTGAGTGGCGATCAGTTCTTCCATACTAGTTCCGCTGATCAGAAATGTAAGACTGGAATGACACAACCCACCCACCCACCCACCCCGGCTTGGCAGGATAGTGCAGAAGATTAGGTTACATGCATATTATACACACCTTAGGAAACTACATTTTGGTAAATGATACAGTACTTTTATACTTTTTGGTATAAATTGTTAGTTAAAATCAAGATGAGATGGATTAGAATTCAAATGTTTTGAATCAGATGTTACTGGCAGTTATGATTTATGTGTGTCTTCTAAATTTTGTTGACTTACAACATTTTGGGGTGTTTCTTCAATCCCTCATTTCCTAATTATTCAAGGCACCATAGAAGAAAAATATGTGAGTTTGTTTCCAAAAGGTAACAAATCTAATAATATAAAATAAAATAATGAGTTATAGGTGGCAGCACATTGTTGGCTGGGAGTAAAATATTATGTACAAATCAAAAAATAAAATGTACCAAATCACTTCAGTGCAGGGCTTGGAAAAAAATTATTGTTATAGTAAAAGAAAGCATATTCTCAGCACATCTTTTTAATTCTTATAACATTTGCTTAGGTGGATTTGGTACCTTTTGGATGCAAGCTCCACAGATATGCTGGACTAAATCCTTCTCCCACTACCATTCTTTTTTTCTTTGTTTTATGTAGATTGTACGACTGAGGGTAAGGAACTCTCTAATTTACATTTTGCAAGTGCCTCTTTGTGCAACTGCAACTTAAGAATTTGGTTTAAATAAGGAGATAAATAAGTAAATACATGAAAAAGTATGCTAACAGAGAAATGAATAAATATTGTAATACGTGGATCACTACAGCTATCAACTATATTTCTGTGTTCTAGTACTGATGGAGCCCTGGGAGTAAGCATCAGTGCTCCTGGAGGTGCTATTGCATCTGTCCCTAACTGGACTTTACGAGGGACGCAACTAATGAATGGCACGTCAATGTCTTCACCTAATGCTTGTGGCGGCATTGCTCTAGTCTTGTCAGGTAATGTAGAATGACACACTTCCTTTATAAAAGAGAAATTGCAATCTATGGGCCCTTTTACACAATCATATAACCCAGAATATCAAGGCAGATAATCCACAATATCTCTTTGAACTGGGTTATGCAAGTCCACACTGCCATATAATTCAGTTCAAAGCAGATAATGTGGGATTTTATACAGCTGTGTGGATGGGTCCTTTGCATGCTCAACAACCAATTCATAATGAAAAAGAAATTAATTCATAAACAGATTTCTAGTGAAGAAAATTTCTTACCTTTTTTTATATCACAGGGCTCAAGGCTAATGGTGTGCATTATACTGTTCATTCAGTCAGAAGAGCATTAGAAAATACTGCAGTACAGGTGGAAAACATACATGTGTTTGCCCAAGGACATGGTATTATTCAGGTAAAATCTGAGCTGCTGCTCAAAGAAGCAAACTATTTATTGACTCGGTGCTATACCACATTTCTGAATAACAAAATAAATAATTTACTCCCATTAGTTCACTCACTTCTTTTGTCTACTCTAACAGCTGTAACAGATTGTATTAATGTAATAGCAAGGCAGCTTCCTTGAAAACAGATGGAAAGACAAAATAGAGTTGAGTGTCATCAGCCCACTGGCAACACTAAACCCAAAAACCTCTGGATGCCCTCTTTCATATAGTGTTAAAGAGCATGGAGATCAAAACTGATCTCATAGTAGTTCTCAACCTGCAGGTCCCCAGATGTCCTAACAGCTGGTGAACTGGCTGAGATTTCTGGGAGTTGGAGACCAAAACAACTGAGGACCCACAGGTTAAGTACCACTATCATAGACCAACAGTCAGGGTGTCGAATACAAAAGCCCAAGTACCATCTTTTGTTGTTCACCCTTCCAGTAAGGAACAGAAGTACTGTAAAACAGTTCCCCCAAATCCTGAATAAAAAGCAACCTTGAAAGATAACATGGTCATTTGTATCAAAAGCTGTTTAAAGGTCCAACAAAACCAACAAGGGCACCTGACCAGTTATTTGTGTTGGTCTTCCATCAAAGTGATCAAACCACACAACCAGGCCTGAGGCCAAATTGAAATTGATTTAGATAATAATTTCATCCTAGAATCCCTGAATCTGGGAGGTCACCACTGTTCTGGAATCTTGCTCAGATTAGAATATTTGAGACTGGCCTATATTCTTGGGCATGGTGGGATTCAGGAACGAGTTCTTAGTAATGCCCTCTCCACAACTTTTTTAAAAGCAGGATGGAAACCTTCCTTGCCTCAGTGAGGCATTTGTTATGTCCCTTACACACGTAGCCAGATTCCTGCCTACTTTAAAGAGCCACAATGAACAAAGGTCTAGCAGGGACTGTCACCTTTCCCTGGATCCTGTCCATACTCTTTAGACAGCACAACTGGAAACTTATGGAATAATACAGGATAATCAGGTGATTATGAAATTTAAGGAACATCTGTTCTAGTCAGATGCAATTATTTAGTGTTCATTTACATTTGAAAACAACAGCAAAAAGTACCAAAACCTAAGATCAGTTCACTTAAAATTTGTTCACTGTAGTTTCAATTCAATTAACAAAAGCCTTTCGTAAACAAAGTATCTTTTTTCCATTCATAAAAAGCTGTATTGATCTGATCAGATAGGTTATGGAAGAGAGAGAGAAATAGCACAAAGGTTCTCGAATGGAGAATGGCTTGGCTTCCTTATAGTGCTGGGAGCATATTTCTTGATTACTATGATTTGTATCTTGTACAGTGTTTTTTGTTTTCTTGCTCAAAGAGTATTGTAATATAGAATGCACTTGAAGTCTCCTCTAAAAATAAAATAAAAGAATTGCAACACAAAATTTCAAAATGCCCTGTGTTTAGTTTTCTTCTGCAACCTTAATTCCAACTGTGGAGTAGCAGTCCCAAACAAGGTAGTTTTAAAATATTCCCAGACTGGGTATATGGAATGACTGCTAAAAGAAGCCTCTTTTATGCAGACATGGATATAAATGTCAAATCCCAGAGAATGGTCTTGGTGAACTTTCTCTTCCAGATGTTGAGTTTGTTATTGTTTTTTCTTCAAAGGTTGACAAAGCCTATGACTACCTCATTCAAAATACATCATTTGCAAACAGCATAGGTTTCACCATTACTGTGGGAAACAACCGTGGAATCTACCTCCGAGATCCTTGCCAGGTAGCTGCACCTTCTGATCATGGTGTTGGCATTGAACCATTCTTTCCTGAGAATACAGGTAAGAAAGTTCAATATTTGCCATAAAAAAGCTAGAAAATGAATATGGAATTTAAAGAAACATTTCTTCATAGGCTTGCTTCAAGGCTTCAAATAGATTTAAGAGTCTAAATGTTTGTACATTTTTGTTTCAGAAAATACTGACAGGATATCACTCCAGCTCCATCTAGCTTTAACTTCAAATGCGTCTTGGGTTCAGTGCCCTACACATCTGGAGCTCATGAATCAGTGTAGGCATATTAATATCCGTGTGGATCCACGTGGCCTGCGAGAAGGAGTTCACTACACAGAGGTATTGCCATCTGGTTCTCACCCCCCTCCCGACCCCCAAATATGGGATTTATTCCCATCTTGCTTAATGTCAGACTTTATAAGATGGGTCTCTCAACTCTTAACCAGTGATAGAACACTATCCACTGGAGACTGTGTAATATAGAGCAAGGCTTGTTAAACATTTCCACTTTGGTCTTAGACATTTTTACACAATCCTGGATATAAAATACTGTAAAATAGGTATAAAAATAAACATTTACTGCTAGCAAATGGGCATTTGCAAGGCTTGCTAAACAGACTGATTTTCCTTTTTATGAAGTACAACTGAAACATCTTCTACAGACTCCATTGTAAACACTTCACAGTAAATTTGTGTAAATGTTTAAAACAGTCACCAGGTGACGTTCCGAAAACTTTTACTGTTGCTTGGTTTTTTGACATTGAGCCAAAGGAATCCAATTTGGGATAGGGACCCACAATTTAAGAAGCAGTAATATAGAGTGCTAATGTCTGTGTTGGATTTAGATTTGAACTAGAACTGCTTAGAAGGACTGTTTGCCAATCTGGAAAAATATTCTTTGAACAGATGACATTGACAGATGACATTGACAAGGAAAAATTCAGGATGAGCATTAAGAGTATATGCTGTATTTTTCAGAGTGTTTAATTTTACAGTACCATAATTTGGACTTATAAAAATTCCAAAAAATCTTGTTAACCATTTATCTGTAACCTTTAGAAAAGTAAAACTTGTTTGAAAGCATGGTGGCTAATGTTATTGCATTCAACATTTTTAGGTGTGTGGATATGAAATATCAATGCCTAATGCAGGTCCCCTATTTCGAGTCCCAATAACCGTTGTTATACCAACAAGGTACATTATTTTCTTATGCTTACAGTGCTTTTAGGTTTTTTTTTTCCAAGGCAGCCCCTTTGAGGAGATCTGAAAATGCCAGTGTCAATACTAAGTAGAATCCAGCCTTCATATCTTTATACATCTCATTATTTTAAATGTGCGAATTTGGTATTTTATCTCATTCTCATCCAGATAAAATGGAAATGGTCCACCTCAAATGATTAGTAAATTAGTTACAAAAGAAATGTCCAAGGCCCCGTCCTCTTTCCAGCCATATGCTCTGAGAGATCCATGTGGTAGTGATCAGCAGCATGTGGCCCTTGCCCGTTTTTCTATGTTCTGAGAATCTTTTTCATGTCAAAAAACAACTTTTGTTCCAATGAATAATAGCATCTAAAGTAGTGGTTCTCAACCTGTGGGTCCCCAGGTGTTTTGGCCTACAACTCCCAGAAATCCCAGCCAGTTTACCAGCTGTTAGGGTTTCTGGATGTTGAAGGCCAAAACATCTGGGGACCCACAGGTTGAGAACCACTGCTCTAAAGGAATTCTCCAGAGATTATGAGTCCCTTCTGAGGCAGATTCACAGATGTCAGAAGCCAGCCCTTTTTTTCAATGACTCTGTATGTTGATTCTTTGTCTGTTATGTACTTATAAGCATTACAAGCAGTTTAGGCCAGTTACTAGAGTCATAATTTTAAATGATTATTAATACAGTTGTAAATAACATGGATAGCTTGCTTTAGACTTCTAAAATGCATGTTTGTGTTCCAACTTTTAAGCACACTTTTAACATTTTCTTAAATAATGCACTTCCATTCACAGGACAGATGACGCTTCACATTATGACCTCAAATTTGCTGATGTTCATTTTAAACCTGGCCAAATTCAAAGACACTTTATTGAAGTTCCATCTGGAGCAACATGGGCTGGTAAGGCAGATAACAGACTGTCTGACTTTGTGGGCCCTTCAGATAGGAGAGAAGACAGGAAATATATGTGTGTATGTTTTTGTTTTTGTTTTATTTTGTTTGCTTTTAACTTTTGTGTGCTGTAAATTTTACCTGATTTTTATTCTGTTGTAAGATGCAATGAATCCCAAGCTTGAGGAGGATTTACTTTTTATTCGTGAAATATGCACAGTTTAAGATCTTTTTGTGGTATATTCCAGAATTTTGTGCTACTTTGACTCTTTAGAGCAGACGTGAGTAACGTGGAGTGTATCTACATTGTAGAATTAATACTCTTTGGACATAACCTTCACTTCTATGGCTTAAAGCTATAGAATAATGAGAACTGTAGTTTTGCAATGTCTTTAGTCTTTTCTGCCAAACAGTTCTGGAGTCTCGGCAAGCTACAATTTTCATGATTTCATAGTGTTGAGCCATTGCAGCTAAAGTGGTGTCAAACTGCATTAATTCTAAGTGTGGATGCACCCATGGATTTCCAAATATTGTTGAACTACAGCTGCCATCAACTCTAAACAGCAAAGCCAATAGTGAAGGATCCTGGAAGTGGCAGTAAGTAGAATGCGAAAGGCCACTGTGATACCGTTACCTAGATTTAAACTGTCAGCTATCAGTTTATTGCCCACTCAAACTTATAAAGTTTTCCCCATATCTAAACAAGTTGTAAGATTCATCAGGTTTCCTAAAACAGCTTTGCCAGTGTATTAATTTTTCTGGTGTATCCTATGAGGCATACATCAGTGAATATGTGAGTGAACTGGTGGTCTATTCAGAACTAGTCCTAACTCTGCCTTTTCTTGTTATCTAGAAGTAACAGTGCGTTCATCATCATCGGATGTAACTGCAAAGTTTGTCCTCCATGCGGTTCAACTAGTAAAGCAAAAGGCATATCGTAGTCATGAATTCTATAAATTTTCTTCAATACCAGAAAAAGGGTCAATTTCAGAAGCATTTCCCATCTTGGTAAGTTACCTTGACTCAAACAGTTATGTGCTGCCATACACCGCACTGTAATAGTCAGTAGTGTAAAAAAAATATGATCTCCATAGTATTTTATAGGACTTAAATGTAGGGCTTGTTTTCTTTGGTGCAAGTATATTTTTCTTTTATCCTAATTGTTTTGTGCCTTCAAATTGTTTCCATTTCTTATGGTAACCCTAAGACAAATTATCACAAGGTTTTCTTGGCAAGGTTTGCTTAGAGGGGGTTTCCCTTCACCTTCCTCTGAGACTGAGAGAATATGACCTGCCCAATGTCACCCAATGGATTTCCATGGCTAAGAGGGCATTAATTCTTCAGTAAAATCTTGTGAACAGGGGCACAGATAGCAAAACAAATGTTACAGGGGTATTAACCCTTCCCTATGCTATCCAAAACTAGAAAGTGCTCAAATTGCTTTGGCTTTGGATGAAAGTTCTGGATTTCTTCTGTGAATGAAAGGTCCTGCAATAACTGTCTTACTGAAACTAATGGGATCGTCTTGAATTTAATCCAAAGCCACCTAAAAGGGTTATTTATACTGATATTATGAGTGCAGCACAGCCAGAGTTTAAAGCTGAATAACAGGGAGAAATATTTAAATGTATAGGTAAAGTAAGATAGTGCATGACAAATCCAGTATCAGCTGTTTATCAGTACTTTCCAAAGACGACTCAGGCAGACTTTAGTGTTCTTCAGAATTCTTTATCAGACTAAAGCAAGAGGGGTTGGGGACCATAACAATACAAAAATTGGATTGTGTTGCCTTTTCACTAAACAGCTATATAATTCTTTGGCAGTGTGGGACACTTTAACCATCCCTCAAATTCAGGCTTCCAATTTAATTTACTCCCTGTTTTATGTTATTGTTCAGTGGAGACCTATTTTGCAGGCATCCAAATAAAAAAAATCAAGTCTCCAAAATTCTAACTGGTGGAGCTCAAAAATCTACATTACCTATTTAGTTGGTTTAATAGGTTTTAAGTATTTATTTTGCTTATTTCAGATCTTTTATGAACATCTGGCACCCATTGGGGTTACCTTGTTAGCTTTTAACATTACTTTTTAAAAGTATTCTCATTAACCAGAAAGGCAGTATTGTCTATCACAAAGACCCATGTTAGCAATTTGGGAATGTTATGTAATTGCCATTTTAAACACAGAACAACATTTGAGCTGTGGAGACTTGATGGAAAATGAAAACATCTAAACCTTTTTTTCCCTCCCATGCAGGATGGGAGAACCATTGAATTTTGTATTGCCCGTTGGTGGGCAAGCCTCAATGATGTCAGCATTGATTACACAATTTCGTTCCATGGCATAGTATGCACAACTTCACAGTTAAATATTGTAAGTATCATTGCACATAGATTGTTTTAATAAATATTGTTGACAATTATAGGTTTATATCCAGTTTTTAGTCAACTGAGATCTTCCATAGAATAGAAGACCTTACCAATTTTCTAGTCAGTTGAGACCTCCCATAGTATCCAATGCCCTACTTTAGTCAGAGAATCCATTTGTTTTAGGAGGTGAGCCTAAAATGTATCTAACTTTCTCTTAAAATGCCTGCAAAGAAGAAGAGTCCTACCTTCAGTGGCTCAGGTTGTTCCTCTGCTGGTCTGGGATCTCATTATGTTTTCTTAAGGATCTCAGATACTTTTCCTCAGACTTTTCCTTGCACTTTCATTAAGTAAACAAGCATATGTTTTGCTTCTTGGTAATGTGTATTACATTTGTAGGTTTTAGACATTGCTGTTCCTGATCCTTTTTAAGACTATTTGCGAGAAAAAAATAATGACTTTTTTTCTTCATTGAATATTTAGTCTTTCCCCATTCTCATTTTAGAACCCACAACGGAAAAATCTTCCTAAGATTTACCTTTTCTGTGTTCAGAAATGTAGTACTTATAAATGTATAAAATACTTTTATTGGCTACCTGTAATGTAAGAAAATGTCGCTTAGTACCACGTTAATGTCATATCTAAAATTATTTTTCATGTAATGTAGACTGGGGAGAACATTTGACAGTTTAGATGTTTGTTGGTTTACATTTCTTTTGTTGTTGTTGTTGTTGATATTTTAAAACACATTTTCTTGAAAAAATAAGTATGAATGAATACATGTTATATTAAGCTTTGCATTCATGTATGCTTTCCGGAATGGCTTCCAAGCATTGCAGCATTCAGAAACATGCAATCTGGAGCATTTCATTCAAACCACCATGTGAAAATGACCTATCTCTGCCCAACAATCTGCAAATGTCTTCCTTCATTCCCAGCTATGCTGTATCTCTTTTTTCAAAGCCAAATCCAGTATAAACATTCCATATCCAGAAATCTTTTATCTTACCTTTTCTTGAGTATTGGGACCTAGTGTAATTAAATTATAAGCCAAGAGAGCCTATATTAATAACATCTTAATCACAACAATTGCATTGTATTGTTTAGAAGTACATTGAGATGAAATGCTTAGAAAATAACTTTCAATAAATGCTTTTATTTTTAGCATGCTTCAGAAGGCATTGTGCGCTTTGATGTTCAGTCTATGCTGAGATATGAAGATATTGCTCCTAACGTTAATCTCAAAAGTTGGATTCAAACTCTAAGGTACTGTATTGAATTTAGATGATGGAAACAAAGAATAGATGGATGCGCTGGTTTAAGAGCAAAAATCAGAGGAACTGATAGTGATATTTCATCAGATCAGTCAATCAAGATTCTTTTTAGATCCATCATATCTTCAGGCCTGATTTTTTTAAGTGTGAGAAATATGTATTTATTTGTGACTTATTTGTTTGCAGTGACATTGAAATAATTGTCATATGAGAAATACAGGAAGCAAATGCATTAAGCTGGAGGTCTCAGGCAGATTTTATTTTTAATGTATGATTACAATTAAAAATTGAATAATTTTTAAAACCTCTAAATACTCAATGAACCTAAACGTTTAACAATTTAAACTACAACACTCTGCCAGTAACAGCTCCCCGGATGCCATGAATTTCCCAGGATTTTTTTTTTAAAAAATCAATTTGTATTTGTTAATGTTGCCATAACTTTGTACATGCATTTCTGTGTTGTAGCAATCAGATAAGGTTAATAGCTTAAACTGTAATTATATGTACTGTTGCCACTTGGAATATTTAATCTAGTACCTTGGGAATTTTTTGGCAGCTTGTTACATATTCAGAAAAAAATTAAGAGCCAACTAGTTTAGTATTTAGTAATTACTACCGTTACTCATTAATATAGTTGTACATAATTCAGTCTTTAAAATTTGGAAAGTGCAAGTGATCCAAAGTTCACCTGATTCCAGAATCAGAGAATAATCATTGCTCCATCTTTTGATTTGTCTATATTGCTGGGCTCCATTTAAACTGCTGGGGTAAGCCTTCATTGTAAAAATGGTAAAACAATTGTTTGTGAACTGCTTATTTAATAGACATGACCATGAAAACTCAAGTTCAAGGATTCTACTTGTTAATCTCGTAAATATGTAAAATTAGATTAATATAAAAGGAGCTGGTCTTTTGTTATGGAAATATTTCTATTTGGAGCCCTGTCAGATTCCCTTATACTTTGTTTTTAGATACCTTTTAAAGACACTTCTTTTAAAGCAACTTTCAAACTGTTTTAAAAGAGTCATATTTGCTGTTTTGAAATTAAAACCCTTTTAAATTATTGTCGCCATAAGTTGGCAGGATGCTAGAAGACACATACACATACTGTCATAATTTTAACTTGTTAAAATTTTTAAGTTTTAAGAAAAATAGTGTATATTTTTAACATTTTGTTAAAATTGCCCTCAAAATTTACCTCTAATTCTTATTGTTGTATTGCTGAATTGCAGACCACAGAGTGCTAAAATAAAGCCATTAGGATCACGAGATGTTTTGCCAAATAATCGACAATTATATGAGATGATTTTGACATACACTTTTCACCAGGTAAGTCTGACTTTTTCAACTGGAATTATCAAAATTTCATGTTATGGCTGCTATTGCCTTCTGTAAGGTAACACTGAAAGTATAAATATAATCATTTGATAGGAAAATTATGGTTATTGTCATTGTATAAATAAAACATACCCTAATGTATCCTTTTACTGCATAATGTACTATTTTTCAGCCCAAAAGTGGAGAAGTTATTCCAAGCTGTCCTTTGCTCTGTGAACTGCTGTATGAATCAGAATATGACAGCCAGTTATGGATGATCTTTGATCAGAATAAGAAACAGATGGGGTCAGGAGATGCCTATCCTCACCAAGTAAGTAGATTAGTATTCCTCTAACTATTCTATAGTCTTTCTGGACTTTTGTTGGCTTTTGTCACAGAGATGAAGAAAGAGTGATCTGCTGAATTAAATGTTCCATTAACTTTCATTTTGTTTTTAACACAAGTATATGTATAAATATTATAAATAACATTGTTCAAGAAAATTCTTGTTCAGCTTGAAAACGTTTTCCATCATGGAGTGGCTTGTCATTACCATCAAGTAAAATAAGGTTGGGGAAATGCAGCCTGTGGTTTAAATATGACATCCCCCCTCCAGTAGCCCTATACCTGTCAAAAATGGTGTGATAAAAAATCACACACACAATTTCAATAGTCAAACAGGAAATGTGAAAGTTAATCCCAGTTTGTTGGGTTTTTTTAAAAAATGGAGGTCATTCCTGTACCTCTTGTAGGTGCCTGCTTGTGATATGATGAACAAGTGTTGTTTTATGTGAAATACCATAGAAGCATTTGTAAGCAGTTCTTGCTGAGCTCACAGATGTTCAAAATGCAGCCCAGGGACCGCACAAAGCTCTAAAACTCGAACTCTTGCTTTATAAACCCCTAAGCACCCAATAAAAAATAAATTAAACACTACATCTAAAATCAATGGCATGGTTGTTACTGAAATTTGGCACCAAGCAACCAAATGTTAATGCATTTGACTAGCTCTTTCCAATTATCACCTAAATGCCAGTACCAGCACAGTTGACTAACAGAAAATTAGCTGGTCAATTACCAACCAAGCAGAAAACTTGATTTTTGAAGCGTTTTCCCAGTTGGAATAGGAAACTTTTAATTAGCTGCCTCTACTACCTCTGATATTCTACCACGCTTACTTTTAAAGTTCACAATTTCATAGCCTCATTTAAAATGTAAAATCATTCTGTAATGACATAAAATCACTCTAATAAATTTAATTTGTTCTCCCATTTGCACAGTAATAATACATCCTTTCAAGCAGCAATTCATTCCTAATGGATTTGGGAGAATTTTATTTATAATACATTTATTTAATATCTTTAAAAACAATACACCAATGTTCCTGTGTGTTCTTTGCCAGTGATTTTTACCTTCGTTTCAAAATGTAACCCAGTATGTAACTCATGTACTAATCAAGGTTAAATAGTTTATTTTAAGGTGAAAATTAATTGCTTAATGCAGTGAGCGGGCATCTCCTGACAAAAAATTTAAATGGATTAATAATACTGGCCAGTACACATTTTGGTACCTCAACTGTTAGATCTGTTTCTTGGTATATTTGATCTGCTGATTCCAAAAATGCCCCTAGTTTTTGAGATACAGGTACAGAACATACACCATATACCACTCTTCATTTTGCTCGCCCATAAAAAATCAGGATATTTTAAAGTAGTGTTCACATGAATATCTTTTAAACATGAAGGAAACATTAAAAATTAAGACGGATAATTCTTTCACACAAGAAGCAACTTGCAGTTTCCCTGACACGGGGAAAAAAAGTTTGCGAGAGAGAACAGAAATTACAGGTTGAATTCATGTTTCAGAAAGCATCATTACTTTACTGTTCACTTTGCAAAATATTTATTGATTTTGATACTAAAGAAGTAATTCTTTCCTTAGTATTCCGTGAAACTAGAGAAAGGTGATTACACCATTCGGCTACAGATCCGTCATGAACAGAATAGTGAGCTGGAGCGCATCAAGGACCTTCCATTTATTGTCTCTCATAGACTCTCAAGTGTCCTGAGTTTAGATATTTATGAAAGCTATAGCCAAGCTCTCCTAGGAAAGAAGAAAGCAAACAGTATGTCTCTGCCACCGAAACACAGCCAGCCCTTCTTTGTGACAACTTTGCCAGATGACAAGTAAGTTGTCTACTGTTTTGTAACATGAAAAACATCAAATGTCAACTGCTCTGAATCTTGACAATTGGGTATTATATTGTTCCCATACTTTCCATCATCTTGTGGTTAAGACTTTCATTCTGTCCATTGGAAGGCAGTTCTTACCAGACTTGACCAGTAAATGCTCAAAGAGTTACTCTGTACTTTCTGTATAAAGGCAGTCTTCTTCCTGTCTCCCCATCGTACAAAAAAAGGGCATTATCTCCACATTGTTCTGCCTTTATATATCAGGCCAGAAAGTGGAGAGAAGAAGGAAAGCTTTGAGTGCAGTATGTCCTAATTCAAGACTAGACTTTGGTCCAAATAAAAGTTCTAACAGTGTTTCTGAGATGTCCTTACAGCTGTATCTTTATTATCTTCCATCTCTCCCACAACAAACACAAATTGAAGAAGACATAGAAAGTCTACCTTAGTGTTGATGAACTTTTGATTGAATCCAAAATCAGACATATCTCCAACTAAGCAACAGCCTGGAGTACTTTCTGTCTTCTTGCTTATGAAATTCGTCAAGATGTTTTATATTAATTGTTTTATGCAGTTGGGTCTTGTAACATATAACCTATATTGTGATTAATTTTTTTACTTTGTTAGAGTGCCTAAAGGAGCAAGCCCAGGTTGTTACCTTGCAGGGTCATTGACCCTTTCCAAGACTGAACTTGGGAAGAAAGCGGTGAGTAGGAAAAATCAGAAGCTTGCCTTTTTCAGAAAATAAATAGCTGGTTGACATGGCTGATCTTTTTATGAAACTACTTAGAGTATTTACAATATTTAATCTTTCAGCTGTATTTTTAGTTGAATTCTATTGGTTCTTCATTGTTGGGATGTACTGTAAACATGGCTTCCTGTGGTCTCTTGAAATGTTTAGCCCCGCTTATCCCTCCCAAACCACCACTTGTGTTGCTGCTTTCACCTCATGCAGCTTCCATGAAAACAATATATGTTGTGAATAATCCACTGGAGAACACTGGAGTACTGTCTTATTATTTCTACATGTTAAAGGCTGCCAGCCTCTGATCCACCTTTTGTTTATTGCACTTAAGTGAGGTATTCTATACCCTAGATGAGGCTGTTTAAAATGATTTGTCATCTGCAGAGAACTAGGAAGAGAGTGGACAATGTCACATTAGATCTCTAAAGTGCAGGTCCCCATTTCCCAGTTGCCCAGTTTACTCCTGCAGAATCCAGGGAAATATAGTATAAGGTGAAGCCTTTTGAATTCTCAGCCAGAGAGGTCCTGGCTACCGTAAACTACATTTCCCAGAATTATGCAGGAGCAGACCAGGTGATTGAGAAATGCAGGCCTGCACTTTAATGTGGTATCATCTAATATTTTGCATTAAATCCATTTAAAGGATGCATATCGGTAAACATTGCAATGAACAAATTTGCTCAGTAATTGCATTGCAACAGTGCTTCCTGGATTATGCCCAAATCTGTGTATTTTTTATTTTTCCTGGTTTAGTAGTGTATTTTTAAAGGAATTCCTCCATATTTTCTTAAATGTATTAAATACCAAGCAGACTAGATGTGAATATACATTTGTTATATGCTCGTTCATGCCAAAAGTTACATAGTCAGCTAAATGGATCTTCTGCAATAGAACTGTGTGCAGTTTGTTGCAATAATTTTCATAAAGGGTTAACATTAATAGATGCAAGGAATATATGGCCCTCCAGATGTTGTTGAACATTAGCTGCCATCATTTCTCATGCACTCACCATGCTGACAGGGTAAAGGAAATTAGAATCTAGTAGTTGGAGGACCATAGATTTTTAATTGTACTTGATTAGATTCAAACTCTTTTAATATAGAGGTGGTTTGTTCTTTAGGAAATCCCTAATTGGAGCTGAAAGAGATTGTCAAACTAAGTACTGAAAAGGTCACCATCAATTTCATATTGGACTTGTAATTTTGCTGGGCAAAATGTTAGCTTTCCAATTTGTGGTGTGTGAAGGACGGGGATGCCTAGGGAATCGCTTAACCATTTTATCTGTTCTTTACCAAGTCACACTATGTGAAAGGTGTGCTACATGGGATTGAGATTAGAGAAAAAGACAGTGGGGAGGGTCTTATATCAAGAGGAATGTAATCCTCCCTCCCCATTGCAGGCCTGTTTGGCTTTAGTACTCTGTCTGGAGGTCTGGAAAATCCTTTGGAGTTGATATATTTTGGGTAGCATAAAGTTCCATTGTGACTGCCAGTGTTCGATTGTATTTAGCCTGATTGTAGTAGCGGCTAAAGCAGTGGTGGTATTTTCCCCATGCTTGACCCATTTTGATCTATTATGTTAATAGAATTACTATATTACAACCAAACCCAATAATTTCTTTTGTCATTTTAACAAAATTGACTTGAATTGATGATTGGAACTTAGCAAGAGCTACAGGTATTATTTTTCAGAGTCTTTATTTTCTTTGTGCTATAGCTACAGCTATTCTTACTTACTCAATTAATTTGCTACAGCCAGGAGGAAAGTGAAACAGAACTTCACCTGAAGATTTTCACAGGACCAATCTCAGCAAACCATTTGTCAAAAAAGCAGTCACAGTAACGATGCAGGTTGATTGCAACCTGCATAATACATATGAGTCAACTCAAATGTATTGAAATGAGGTTCAACTTAAAAATATCATTTTAGCATCTCATTTGTTTTGTCTTATGTCTGAACTTTTTGTGTTTTTAATGCAAAAGGAGTTGAATATTCCCAATAATACAATAATTGTGTACATTGAAGCTGTTGACCCAGAAAAATAGGGTTTCATGTAATTTAACTGTGAGCAAGAAAGGCTGTTTATAATGTAAGAGAACTTAAAAACTAAGTTAGCATTGGAGGCATTCCTGAACATCAGAACTGGTTGGAAAAAAGGCATTGATCACATTATGTTCTTGTTATTATGGTAGTCTTTTAAGGCTGATATTCAATTTCATTAGTTCCCTAAGTCATTTTTATGTTTTCTTCATTTGTTTTAAAATAAGAATCCCAACAATAACTATATGCATGATATATTTTAAAAGCTAAAATATTATACTTTATTAGCATATTTCAAGGGAAAAGCCATTGCGTTCTAGATCCCTCAGTCAAGAAGAAAAAAATGATAAAAGGAGGTGTCTCCGCTGTGTAGAGTTTGTGGATATTTTCTTACAGTATGTTGTTCTAACTCCCAGGGGCAGTCTGCAGCAAAGCGACAAGGAAAGTTTAAAAAGGTACTGAATGTCAGTTTTGAAAGATATATTTAAGTCTTTCTGCTTATGACCTAAAGTATAACAATTAAGTTTTTTTCTTTATGACTCCAGTTATTTTTTGTACAGCTAAATGAATCATAATTTTGAGGTGCACCCTTGCTTAGTGTAGCAAAGCATCATTTGTTTAGCATTATATCATCATAATGGTATGGAGACTATACAGAATTTTTAATGGGTACATTTACAGATTGTTACAATAGCAAGATGAACTATTTAAAAGCCATCTCCGGAAGATGCTGAACAAAGATAACTGAATAGATGTTGCTTTACTAGACAGATAGGAAGCCTTTGATGCTCTGGATATTGAAAAACTATAACCTCCGCTGTTTGCCAAAAAGGCTAGGGCTGATGGGTTCTGGGTCCAGCTACATCTGAAGGATCACAGGTTCTTCAGCCTTTATTATTGACTGGCAGCAGCTCTGTGAAGTGTTTGGTAGAGGTCTTTTTTGTCACCTGCTGCTTGTTTCTTTTAGCTGGAAATACCAGGGATTGAATCTGGAAACTTCTGCATAAATATATTTTATACTCTGTGTGTGAAAGAGAGAGGGGTGGGGGAGAGAGAGAGAGAAAATTTCCGACATTGAACTGTGATCCTTCCCCAAGGATTAATGAAAATGCTGGCAGAACAAGAACATTTTGTGCATTGATGAAGAAAGGGCAGGGAGGAAATCATGCAGAAATTGTGGAAGAGCTTCATAAGTGAGATTGTGTGAGAGTGCGTTGAATGCTGTATCATGCTTCCATATAGATAATTTTCTAGGAATGGGGTTGGAGTGATGAATAACATTCACTAACTGTATAGAAAGGATCTTGTAGCACCTTTGATGCTAAGAAGAAGTTGGTAGCTTTTGGAGACTTAGTATACCTTATAGAGGACACTCATCAACAGACATTTATACTAGTGAAACAATGAAAAATAATAGAAAACAGTTAACCGTGTTGTAGATCTCTACACATACTTCTTTTTTATAACTTACAATAATCAATAAATAACATTTTTAAAAGACCTTGTAAAACTAGAGCTCTCATGATTGCATTGCTTTGAGCCAAGGCATTTAAAATGTCAAACTGCATTAATTATACAGTGTAGATTGCACCCCTAGGTATCTTTTGAGCAGAGTGAGTGTTGTACCTGCTGCCTGTTGTCTTCAGGACTGATGAGGTGAAGTTGGGTAGGGAATACAATCTGGGAGGGGGCTCAGGGTCTGATATATGTTTTTATTTTCTCAGAAGTATTTTTATTTGAATATTGGTTAGACATGTTTTTATGCCCATTGTAAAATCAATTTTAAAGAAAATAATCACATTTAAAACTTGAAACCACATGTAATCTTTAGCCAGTCTAGTGTGGATTCAAATCTGTCATTAAGTTGTCTGTGAGAGGAAGCTAAATTACCAGAATGGGTTCCTGTAGAATCCAAGCAAGCAGAACCAGACTCCAGGTTGCTCCACTGGATGCCATCTTTCTTCCCCTCCCCACGCTGCACCAAATAGCTGTTCATTCTTTCCTTCCTTCTTCATGTGTTTTCCTTGCTGCCACAAATGCTGTAGACATGCCCTAGCAGATCTCTAGGATCTTTTCCTAGTCTGGAGGGATGTAGAAGGAACCCTTTTTTAGATCCTTCCCCTGATCTGAGTAGTCTCTTGTCTATTTGGCCTGCAGCTACTATCATGAACCAGAAGTGGTTATCCAGCTGACCAGCTCACTAGTGAAGTTTTGGACTTCAACTCCCACAATTCCTGACCTTTGATCAAGCTGGCTAAGGCTTTCTGGGAGTTGGAGGCTGAAACACCTGGAGGGCTGCAGGCTGCGCAGGCCTGGCTGGGTCACATAACGATTAATGCATATACAAGTCCTGTATATATGTGAGGACCTCTATTCTCCAGACAAATGTGATACATGGCCAAGGTATCAGGGGGAACTACATCAGAACAATGACATGACCATTGTGACCTTATCCTCATTTCTGTGGCAATATCAGATATCTGAGTGCCCAAAATGGGTTTTGTTCAGTAGTATTCATATTATGCTGTAATAGGTCACACATAATACAAGCTGGTTATAAAAATGGTCTCTTGAGTCTGACTATATCCTTGGCAAGGAAAAGGCACCATCCAAGTTGTAAGTACTGTATACTCTCATTTCAGAGATGTGAGGTTGACAGAAAATGTTATTTTTATTTCTAGGTGTCTCTGTTGGGTATGCATTGTATTCTGCGAGGATGTAGTATGCAACAGAATTTATGGCGGCTGTATGCTGCTGGAAGGAGATTTTTAAAAATTTGGTGTGGGATGATCAGTTGAGGGACATGGTGCCCATGGCAAAGTGATGAACTAATTCTGGTCCAGTAACCTTCCTCCAATGATATTTCAGCACAGTAACTCAATACTTGGAGCCCCCGGTGGCGCAGTGGGTTAAACCTCTGTGCCGGTAGGACTGAAGACCGACAGGTCGCAGGTTCGAATCCAGGGAGAGGCAGATGAGCTCCCTTTATCAGCTCCAGCTCCTCATGCAGGGACATGAGAGAAGCCTCCCAAAAGGATGGTAATAAACATCAAATCATCCGGGCGTCCCCTGGGCAACGTCCTTGCAGACGGCCGATTCTCTCACACCAGAAGCGACTTGCAGTTTCTCAAGTTGCTCCTGACACGACCAAAAAAAAAAACCCCTCAATACTTGACATGGTTTGCATATTATCAAAATAGGTTGTTTCCCCAGAGTCAAAGTGGCCTCTGTCAACCTTTCTAGTCTCTCTTTTCCTCCAGCTGAGTCTCCTTTGCAAGGATATTAATGGGAAGTAGGAGCATGGGTCCTTCTTACATAGCTGGATGTCCCATCTCACACAGAGAGATGCTTCTTCTACAGGTCAAAATTAATCTGTAACAGAATGGGCCTACCTTGCCAGGCTAGTGTGTAGGAAAATTTCTAGGCCCTGGGAGAAAAGGCCAAGCTAAAGGAGGAACAGCTCACTCCTTATATGGTAGTGGTGCCTGATTGGTGGGGAAGTTAGAGAGTGTGGCTTAGCTTCAAAAGGTAGAGGGCACCAGGGAGAGTGGTAATCTAGGAGATGGGGAGAAGTCGGAAGGGGAGAAAAGAAGTGCTTGGAGGTTGGAGGGAAAAACCTTTGTGAAGGGGGGAATTAAAAATAGCCTTCGGGGAGAAGTGCTACATTTTTAGAGAGCCTCTAAGGGACAGAGTGCTTATATTAGGCGCCCCTGGAAGGGAGGACTGGGGTTTTGAAAAGCCCAGTTAGTTTACCTGTGAGTGAACATAGTTCTGTGGAAGACAAATTAAGGAGCCATTTTCTTTTAAGGAAACAGCTTGATAATCTGAAACCACCAAGTGTCCGAACCTCTCCTAATTTCTGAGAAGCCTTCTTGTTCTACTTCAAATAAACTTCACAAATCTGTTTGTACTTCACCACAAGCATCCAATGTGTCTTTCTTTGCATCAGTATAAGAAGGGGACCTGTCTGGATAACAGCCGTCACTCTTCAAGTCGGAGTTTTCCTCCATTTTTTACTGACTCTGGTGGTCAATGGGCCAGAGGGACAGGGAAGAGTGAATGGTGTGGTCATAGACCAATACATTTAGATTGATTGTAGTGAAGTTATATTGTCATGTAATTAACGGCCAGTGGGTGAGATCGACTGTTCTATCATCTTCATCACATAGGCATCTTCTGTAGGCTGTTCCATCCTATGCACAATTTAACCTCTTAAGTGCAATATTGCTTATGACTTTCTCTTTTCTCTCTTCTTACAACCCATTTTAATAAATAGGCTATACCAGTTAATTACTTTCACCTTCTAAGAAAGGCCTATTTTACTTCAAAACAACTCTGGGGCATTTGGAGGGTAATTTTTGTCTTCACATAAGGTTATTGGGATGTCATATGATATCTTGGATATTTCACCAACTTTGGGGGGGGGGGGGTTGTCCAAAAATCTTGGGGCCTTTGGAGATGCTTACAACCTACATTTCATCCATCTTGGCTCTTTAATTGATACTCTACTCATTTTCTGTTTTCTTTTATTTAAAGTGTTGGAAGAAGTTAATGGGTTTCTTCTTCTTGTGTTCTATCCAGAACATTCATGTAGACCAGTGGTTCTCTACCTGTGGGTTCCCATATGTTTTGCCCTTCAATTCCCAGAAATCCCAACAGCTGGTAAACTGGCTGGGATTTCTGGAGTTGTAGGCCAAAACCCCTTAGCGACCCACAGATTGAGAACCACTGATGTAGACTAAAACAAATGGCATGTTCAGCTATTGCATTTAAGTATTGTTGAGATAGTTTAATTTGACAATGGAATGTAATGCCCCAACTATGAAAATATTATATAACTTCCATATAAATTTTTGAAGCTCTTATGCCATTCTGAAATAACTAGATCCTAATTTAAGAATTGTGTGTATGTGTAACTTTATTCATAAAGTATGCCCTATGGGAGCAAAATCTTGACAAGCAATTACTTATGCTTTGATTGCTTCCAGGATTGCTGCTCCTTATAACAGGAAATACAGAATACAGAAAATATGAACATAAGAAATTATTTCCCTTAGTGGCACGGGCAGAATCTGATTTAGACATGAAGCTTCTGGATCAGAATTTCATCTCAACCGTGAACGTGTTAGATGGGTTTTAAAAAGCCACATGTATGGCTAAAACAATCAAATCTTAGCTATTAAGTCAAGATATGGAATGGTCCAAGATGTAAAAGAACATTTTGCTAACTTACCCAACTTCTTTGCTCCTCTATTTCCCTTGAATGCCATAAAGAAGTTTACAATTTGACATTCCTTCATATTCAGGAAGTTATGTTTATAAGACTTTGAAGGATCTATGACAAGCTAAGGATAATAGAGTACACCAGCTGTGATTTAAAATTCTGGTTTCTTTGAAAGCTGGCGAGAATAGTTGGGTGAAATGAGATGTGATAATTAATTAACCCTCTAGATTATACTTGGTTTTAGGTGTTGTGTGATAAAAGGTTTGTTCATACCTTGGGTTATGAAACTGCCTACTTGTCATGGTCATCACTATGTCTTATTTCAACATCAATGTCTATATTGCCCAAAGTATTAGGAGGCAGAAGAATCCATCACCACTACAGCAAGAAAAAGAAATGCTCTTTCCATCAAACTTTGAACAGGTCTTTTTGCTTTAACCATTTATAACAGTAGTCAAACTTTCCATGACAGTAAAGAAAACACTGAAATGAAATACATTAAATAAGTTAAATATGCATTAAATGGATGAGCATGTGAGTCTTCAGTCAGCTACATGAACTGACAGCAATGGTAGTTTAGTCCCCTTTTGGAAGAGCAAAGCATCAGCTCTCATTCCATTCAACCCGAGACACAGGTGACTGTCAAGCGGTACCTTTCAATCTTGCAGTGGGGCTGTGTTCAGTTTGTGCATATTCCTTGACGCTCGAAGTATCCAGATCATCCATTAAGCTGAAGACAATTTGAGACCGAGCCTATATTGCAAGAAGAATCTTTAACACTTTAAAAAGTTGATACAGTGGTTACTGAGATTTATTTATTTATTGTGTCAGAAGCAAATAGAGAATACAATTATAATACATAAAAAACAACAAAGTTAAAAACTTGGCATTATGCTAAATTTCCTTTTACCAGAAGCTGATCACTTCAATTGTAGCTTTAACAAGGCTGTGGTTTGTTCTTCACACTAACATGTTATGGTCTTCACTTTGTAGCCCCATTTCTGAAGATTGGCTCTGCATCTTGTATCAGAGTGCAGTCTGTTCAGCACTCTGAACAAGTCGCCCAGTCTTCTGTGTGCCCAGGAGGGAGTTTCTTATCCAATATCAACCACTGTTTGAGGTTCCAAGTTTTAGCCTTCCATTTTTGAGCTGTCACTTGCTGAGGTGTTCCTCCGAATATCTCTCTAAATCTTAGAAAACTATTCCTTGATTTAAGATGTTGGCATGCTGGCTGATATCCCAAACAGAGGATGGGCCGGTGATGTCAATGCCTTGGACCTTTCTTTACTGGTTACTACTTCCCAATGGATATTAGGTGGTGTAATACTGGATAAACAATATAGTTTTTGCAATGGTGTATGGCGTAGACATCTTGAGATAATGCAACATGTCTCATTAAGAGCCACATCCACTGTTTTAACGTGGTGAGATGTATTCTACACTGAACATGCATATTTAGCAGCAGAGTAGCAAAGCACAAGGGCAGGTTTCTTCACTTTGTCTAGTTGTGCTCCCTAGGTTGTTTCAGCCAGCTTTCATATGTTATTTCTAGCACCAGGTTGCTGGGATAAAGAAAGGATTTTGAACATTTAATGTTTTGAATTTGCCTTTCTAGCATATAGTAGATAAAACAGCAAGAAGAAAACCAGTATGTGTATTTTATGCATAAATGTCTTCCTTTTAGCAATATTTTTAAGGCTTTTGTAGTAATCAAGAAGACAAACTTCTAGAACGTTTTGCAAGTATCTTGTAGCACTTTGGTGTCTTTGTCTTGAAATGATGACCATTGGCTTATTTAGGATTAGTAGAAATGTAGAGTTATTTTAGAAAAAAGTACTTGAAAGAAGGGGAAAATCACCAGTAATAGCAGCTATATGTATGGTTAAGAAGATGGTGAGTTTATCAGCTGTTTAGAAATTTAAGATTGAAAAATTCAAGCCTCATATGACCTTTTTGATAGTAACATCTACTTAAGTCATTTGTAATAACCCTTCCATGAATTTCATTAGATTGACATTTGCCACTGCCATTATGCAGGGGGATAATTCCATACTAAGTAAAACTAAAGGGATGAATGTTCCTATTCGTAAAAATTCCATTGTGAACCATAACCTGCCTCAAGCTGTGAGGAGAGGCGGGTAAGAAACTAAATATATGTATTTATCACTATAAGTGGGTGATCTGGCTTCTAACCAGCTTCTGCTGGTCTTCTACTGGAAAGGCTGATGAAAGGTGAAGTGAAACAACAGCTCAAGGGCAACACAGTCTCAGTTCTGCCTTATTTAACCAATACAGTTGTGTTTACCTTACAAAACAGAAGACTGGCTTTGAACAGGTTGCTCTTCTCCCTTTTTTTCTTCTTCTGCCAGGATATAATTCCAGTTCACTATCATCTGATCCCATCACCAATAAAAAGTAAGAATGGCAGCAAGGAAAAAGAGAAGGAGGCAGACAAAGAGAAAGATGTAAAGGAGGAATTTATTGAAGCTTTAAGGGACCTGAAGATTCAGTGGATGACTAAGTATGTTTCTCTGTTTCCCCTAGTACTGTCACATCCTTCAAAGGATTGGTCTATTAATGCAATTTCCCACTATTTCTCACCCAGAAACTACTCAGTTGGCACATTCATTGACACTGTATCTCTTATAGGCTTGATACCAGTGACATTTATAATGAATTGAAAGAGGCTTTCCCTAATCATCTCCCCTTATATGTTGCACGACTTCATCAGCTAGACTCTGAAAAGGTATGATTCCTTTCTTTTCAACGGCTTTAAGTCTACTCAGCCAAGTTCTACTTTTGAATAGTGCTATGGACAGTTTAGACTTATGAACTGGGAGGGCTGATTTTTTTTCAGACTATTGTTAGCTATATTGACAACAGTCTCTTCTATACAAGGACGGAGAATGCAGGACTAACGTGTTCCACCATCTTTTTATAACAACAATAACAATTTTTATTGATTAGCCAGTTGGCCTTATCAAAAACAGACAGTGTTTGTTTTTGTTTTTGTTTTTTGTCGTGTCAGGAGTGACTCCTGGTGTGAGAGAATTGGCCGTCTGCAAGGACGTTGCCCAGGGGACGCCTGGATGATTTTGATGTTTTTATCATCCTTGTGGGAGGCTTCTCATGTCCCCGCAGATGAGGGAGCTCATCCGCCTCTCCCCGGATTCGAACCTGCGACCTGTCGGTCGTCAGTCCTGCCGGCACAGGGATTTAACCCACTGCGCCACCAGGGTCTCCTAACAGACAGTGTAAACACAACATACAACATACGTCTGGTCCTATTAAAATAGAATACAAATATATAGGAATTTGTCAACTTAAAACCAATGTAGCTTAGGCATAGATATATGCATCAACTATCCTCGTCTCTCCTACACTGCACCCCAATCTGATCTATGTACTCTCCTTTTAGCAGCTTTAAACAAATAAAGGGCAACTTGTGTTGTCAGAATGGGGTTAAAACCAGCCAACAAAAATGGGGTTTTAGCCGCTGTATCCCAGCTTTTTTTATTGCAAATGAAAGGCCATAAATATTTTTTCCTTTCTCTTTCATATAGATTGCAGTTATGTAAAATGTGGTTCAGATTTTCAATTTCAGGGGCTCCACAGATACATAGTCTTTCTTCATATGGGATATGATTGAATCTGCCGTGTCTCTCCATGGATTCAATTTGTTCATCTTTTTACATTTTAATTTCGTCTTCGTTAAAAACAGCAGTTTCTAGGACTTATGGCCCAATACCCTGAAGGGTGCAGGCTGTGTCAGACAAGATTGATTGACCATATTTCATCACATAATAGTCGCCATCACATAATAGTCGTACCTTCCTTTTTGAGGGTCCCGGTTAGGGTCTCTTAGAATTCATCATATAATTTTGGAAGTGAAAATTAGATACTTCCACAAGCATCCCTCCTTTTTCTTCTGTGAAACCGAAAATTACTCTTAATGACTGATGAAGTCAGACCCGATGTTCATTCCTCAATAATGTGGGGCAACATTTCTGGATCATTTGCTTGTTATTTGCACAACAGCATAGTAGCAAAGAGAAAACTGAATGTGTATATTGGTCCGTTGAATTAAAATAATGGCTTGTTTGTTTCATCTAGGAACGAATGAAGAGACTAAATGAAGTTATTGAGGCTGCTAATACAGTTATTTCACATATCGATCAAACAGCCCTTGCAGTTTATCTTGCTATGAAGACTGATCCCAGACCTGATGCTGCTACTATAAAAAAGTACCTAACCAGTAAATACTTTTTCTTGCATCTTATCTATACTCTATCCTGAGGTGGTTTCTACTTGAAGATTAACAGTTTGGGCCATAGTCGGGATATAATAGCATTCAACTCTGTGTTTGTTGGTTCATGGCTACTATATCTAAACATGTTCTCAAATGCTCTAACTTTGTGTTTGACTGTGACCAGTGCATAGATTTAAAGATTTTTTCCATTTTAATTTTTATTTGCTATGTGCTGAAATAAAGTTTCTGTTTGAGCCATCTATAAGAAATGTATCCTTGGGTATTATTCACAGAAACACAGATCTGTTGCTTTTATTAGAAAATGCCCTAGTTGTTGGCTGTTCTGAAACTACTTCTGCAGGAATTCTCAGAGAAATGTAATGTCAATTTCTTGAGGTCAGCTTTATTGTCTGGAAGAAGTTATGTATGTTGTAACTTTAGAAATGTTTATAAGAAAATAGTGAAGATTCAGAATGATAACTGCATAATGAGATTAAGAATAGATGTTATACAGTAGAAATAGAATTTTACATAATGATGCGCAACTCAATCAAGTAGTTTGTGTTGTCATGGATGGGAAAATCAGAAAATGACATGTTGGAAATACTTTCCCATGTGCAATATTGGCTATAAGCAGACAACTTTCTGATAATTGTCTCTAACCTAATAATTTTCAGCTCACTGTTTAGAACTTCTGCGTGTCACTGTAAATACAGTGATTATTGTGTCTGTTTCCCACTTAGTGATATGGAAAAGCAGAAATCTACACTCGTAGATGCTCTCTGTCGGAAAGGAAGCGCATTGGCAGACCAGCTTCTGCAGTTGCAGGCCCAAGAAGGGGCTGGATCAAGTGATGCTGAATGCAAGGATGACAGCCAGGACAGCTGTTTTAATGCTGTGATGGAGACTTTCTGGGAGACCACAAAATGGACTGAACTGTCTGACACCAAGGTATTTGAAAACAAGGAGGAATGTTACAGTTGCTTAAGATTGAAGGGTAGAACTTCAGTGTGATAGTTAGTTGATTCCAACCTGATGGTGATGATGACGACGACGACAACAACAACAATAATGTATTTATTACCGGGCTCCCCCTCATGGCTTGATAATGATATTGACTCTATCCCGGGTTTTACTTAGATCAGGACTCAAAGCAGCTTACAACAAATTTTTAAAAAGCATTCACAAGAAACAGAAGTTAAAATAAATGGAAGAAAAATTAAAACCAGATTAAAACATACATCATTGTGCACACATTGTTTTGGTGAGGCAGACATCCTAATATTCTGTCTAAACAGAAAAGTATTTTCTTACCTGCGAAAAGAAACCAGGGAGAGTTCCAACCTGGGGGAAGCCATTGAGAAAGTACATACTTGCAGGACTCAGTTATTCCCAAACTGAGTAATGGTAGACAAATGTGTGATTTGTGGCAGAACCCAAACGTACTTGCTTAGAAATTTTTTGTTTCCGCCCTTTTGCCAGTTTGGAACAATTGGTTCTGTGTTTAGAAGGAACATGGGTACATTTGTGTTAACACATTATTTTAGTCGCTTCTGGTGTGAGAGAATCAGCCATCTACAAAGGCATTGCCCAGGGGACGCCCAGATGTGTTACGATCCTGCGGGGAGACTTCTCTAATGCCCCCCATTATTATATCCAAAGCTTTGGGTTTACTGCCTATTACATGGAAAACCAGCTGATCCCTAATCAATCTAAACACAAGACGTGCTTTTCACCTTAAGAACAGACAAGCCTCTCAAGCTCTGAGGTTTACCTGGGAAGAAATCCCACTGGAGCATTGCAGCACATCAAAATACCTGGGAGTTATCCTGGACTGTTCTCTGACTTACCAGAAGCACTGCTTGACTATCAAGCAAAAAACGGGTGTTAAAGACAATATATGAAAGCTGGTTGGCACAACCTGGAGATCACAAGCAGACACAGTGAAGACATCTTCTCTTGTGCTTTACAACTCCACTGTTGAATACACATGCCAGTGTGGAACACACCTCATCATATTAAAACAGTGGATGTGGCTCATAATGTGACATGCCACATTATCACAGGATGTCTCTGCCCCACACCACTGGAGAAATTATACTGTTTAGCCAGTATTGCACCACCTGCATCCGTTGGGAGGTAGCAGCCAGTAATGAAAGGACCAAGGCATTGACATCTCCGGCCCATCCTCCGTTCAGATATCAGCCAGCATGCCAATGTCTTAAATCAAGAAACAGCTTCCTAAGATCTACAGAGATACACGCAGGAACACCTCAGCAAGCAAGAGTCCAAAAGTGGCAGGCAAAACCCAGAACCTCAATCAGTGGCTGATACCAGATGAGAAACTCCCCCCCCCCCCCAGGCACACAGAAGATTGGGTGACTTGGAAGGTGTTGAACGGACTGCTCTGACGCCATGAGATACAGAGCCGATCTTCAGAAATGGGACTACAAAGTGGAGTCCATGACATGCGAGTGTGTAGAAGAGCAAACCACAAACCACCTACTACAATGCAGTCTGAGCCCTGCCACATGCACAATGGAGGAGCTTCTTAACTGCCACACCAGAGGCACCCCAAGTGGCCAGCTTCTGGTCAAAGCAAATTTAGTATAATTTCAAGTATAATTTTTAATTTGATTTATGTTTAAATATATTATAGCTGTGCTCTCAATTCTCTTCTGACATTAATAAATAACATTATTTTAGATAAATCTACAAGTAAAATTGTGGATTATGAATCCTGGCCCAGTGTTCAGCAATTTGAAACATAATTTAGTTGATTTGGACATCCTCTGAGCTGTCTGTTTTGTTTCATTCCAGAGACAGGCCAAAGTCTTTCCATTCAGACAGGCTTTTAAAGAAGAAAGTTTTTTAAGATTGAGGCAGGGGGTGCTGAGTGGTGTGTATGTATATATGTGTGTTATGTATGAATGTGTGTGTGTATATATGCACACACACACACATAGTAATGGTTTTATTTACTTTTAATACGTAGTCCTATGTTTAATTCTATTGCAGTGCTTTTATGTTTTAGGTTTTACATTGCACATTTTATTGTCTTTAATATTGAGTCTCTTTTAAGATAGAAAAAGTGGATTATAAATATTGCTACTATTAATAGTGGTACTATTACTACTACTTTGTTTAAAACAAGGGAAGTATTTTGTTGAGCGTTCCAGTCTGAACAGTAGCCAGTCAGATTCTTTGTGAAGCTTACAGACAGAGAGCATGACAGTAATAGACTTTTGTTTGTCCTCAGTACATTGCCTCTCTATTAATTTTAAGGCACAGCTGCTACTTGCATGTCCTACTGTGAATCAGCCTGTCACCAAGTGATACACAAATTGCTTCCCTTATTTTGTTCTTGTATTGGTTCTCTGGGCAAGGACATGTCCTTTTATGCTCTGCAAAGCACCTCTCATATTGATGTCATTATACACACTTAAGAACAGAGGTAACCATTTAGTTGTTGGCATATATAATGTTGTCTGCATGAGGGGTGATTTACAGAGCATTAAAAGCTTTCTGAATGATCTGTGAAAATGGATTTGTAAAATATTTACAAGCGTACTGCTGAGAGGAGCCCAGTAAGATCATTTCCTTCCATAGTATTAGCAAATACTCAGTGCAGTGATACTGCAATAACAGTAACTCTACTCCCAGACTCCAACTTGTAAAGGAGTCTTGTGCTTTCTCTTTTTTGTACTGCTGCTGCCAAGTCTCAAAGAGAATTGAGGCATGTCAGCGTTTCAAACTTACGAAGAGCATTCAGGAATTGCATCTCTTGTTTCCCACCTTGTGCAGGTTTTACCATTTGCCTATAAGCACGCACTGGTAAATAAAATGTATGGTAGAGGTCTCAAGTTTGCCACAAAACTTGTAGAGGAGAAACCCACCAAAGAAAACCTGAGGAATTGTATACAGGTGGGTAGTAATTTTTTCATCTTCCAGTAACAGTGACATTTTGGGGGCTTTAAAACTATAATACCTTGATTTGTTTAGATCTTCAAATTCCACAGTAAACCTGATGGATGTATTCATTTCTTGCTTGCACTGTTCATTGCGTTTCCACTTTTTAGTGGAACTCGAATTAATAGTTCAATTTGTCAAAATGGAAGAGTTTAATTTTTGCCACTAATCATTGCTGCTTTGTTTTCTAGCTAATGAAGTTACTTGGATGGACTCACTGTGCATCTTTCACTGAAAATTGGCTTCCTGTCATGTATCCACCTGATTATTGTGTGTTTTGAAATAAACCTGCTGTTGTAAATTTGAGATGTTGTCACACTGACTGGATATAAAAAAATGTGATCTTACTGGAATGCATGTTTCATCCATTATTGAATGCTTTAATTGTGTGTATTAATCGGAGGAAGAAGGGGATACAATATGTATGTGCTAGCTTTGCTCCTGACATCACAGTGTCTAAATCGACAGACACTTAAGTTTCCCAGAAAATGAAATAAAAACCTTCAAGCAAGATCTTCAGCATACATCACATTGCTGGCAATGGATGTTTTGGAATGGCCAGCACCAAGGATTAGGAAACGGAAATGAGAAAACGTCTTGCATGTATATGTGGTTCTTAACTGTTCGTAATTTTAACCACATGCCTGTACAAGCTGTTCTTTTTACAACAAGCAGGAATTTTAATGTGTTCAAAATATGTTTTCAATTGTATATGAAGGCCTTAAAAGTGAAGCTACATCAGAAGTAGCTACAACCTTATTTATTAGACTTAACATTAATGGAACTTAATTACCAGTGCAACTTGCAAGAGTTTACGTTTTGAATTTTTTAAAAAAATTAAAAAAAAGTTTCTCACACACTGCAAATGTATTCTATAATGCTGGTGCAAAGGTGCTCTTTAATATCTTCTACTTGGAGATATTCTCAAATATCCATGCGATACAAAGTGTCAGAATAAACTGATACATGTATAAAGTGTCAGACAGTTAACATTAATCAGGTATTGTAAAACTTATACATACATGTTAATAATGTTTGAAAAATGTAAAACTGCAGAATAAATGTGCAATTTTCAGTATCAAAAACTTCAGCATTCTATGGTTTAATTTTGTCAAGATAATAAAACAATTGACAAACCTGAAACCTGTCCTAGTGTGTCAAGAGTTTATACAGGAGGCGTTAGAATTCATTTAATGGTTTTTCTCAGTTTTCCCTAAAATTAATAGCATATATGGCTCCAGGGAGGCCTATTAAAATGTTACATCTGAAGCAGTGTTAGGAAGTGACATTAGTAAAAGCATTTATACATATGCCATTTATTGGAATAGTTGTGACTTAAAATGGGGGTTTCAAGAAAAAGGTTTACTTAGTAGCTTTTGTCAAGATGGTCACAGATCTGGTGTGTTTTGAATGTACACACATATACTGTGTTTCCCCGAAAATAAGATGCTGCTTAGATTTATTTTTCTTCAAGAAGATACACTATGGGGATGTCTTATTTTTATTAAGTATGGCACCACCATCTGCATTTATTCAAATATAGTGCTGTGTAAAATGGCAGCCACAGCTTTACTTCTTCCCCCTGAGGACACGCATTACCTAAAGCGGAGCATCCTGCTCATCACTTCACTGAGGAGACTTCCCAGGGGATGGGCCGAAGGGAAGCAGCGCTGCCAACCTTAGCCGTGTTGGAGCCAGTGACTCACTCAGGAAGTCTGGCCTGGGCTGGCCCGAAGGGAAGAAAGAACAGAAGGAGAAAGAGGAAAAGGAGGATGTGGAGGCAGGAAGTGAGAGGGAGGGAGGCCCAGACTCGCTTCCACCATCGCTGTGGAAGGTTCTTCCATTTCACTTTCTAGGTCTCCCTCTATGCCTCAGCTTGTATCATTTTGACTTATTTTCAGGGTATGGCTTATACTGCGCAAATGCTTAGAAATCCTGCTACGGCTTATTTTATGAGTATGTCTTATTTTCGGGGAAATATGGTACTTGTCTAAATATTTTCTTATGCCTTATCAGCCATGGATAAGAGGTTGATGATTTCATTCTGAAAAAATACAAATGTCCCCATTATTAGGAATTTAACCTGTGTAACTGTTAGAGGATTACACAGATTCAAGATACTTAATTTGTAATCTGAGGTGCAGCATTTTCCACTCCATCTACCTTGTTCATCTGTAACCCATTCATACTAACAAGATGGATTACTTTATTTACAGGAGAACTCATTGTATATTGTTTTAAAAGTGCTCTTCTAACAACCAGGCATGGAGGGAATATCAGCAGTAGAGTCTGAGATTTTAAACCCATTAATTTTATGAAAGAATGGTAAGGAGAATAATTCAGTTTTGCTTATCATTGTAAAAGTTAAGAACTGGACACATGCCCTTGTGATCATCTGGGGGAAAAAAGATTACATGAGCCAAGGGAAGGAGCATTCACTGCTAGAATCTGCTCAGTGGGGTAACTACCCATTTAAATGCTCTTCATTTCCTCCTCCCTAAAGCTTGGTTGTTTGATCCAACTCTATACTGTTGAATGTTCCAAACCAGAGGTTGTAAATGTTTAAAAATGCCCATGCAATCAAGATTTTTATTCTGCTATTATAGATTCAAGATTCTGGCATTCTCCAAGGTATTAATTTTCTCGAATTGTTCCCTTGAACAATTTGACATTTGACTCTGGAAATTCTGCCAGTTGTGTGATATTGAATATATTGCTGAGTTTGTCCAAGAAATCATAATCTGTGCTGAACCTGAATTTGTTTGCCCATAGCAAGACTGTCCCAGGTTGACACAAGTAGCCTATCGTCTCCAGAAGAGTATCCAAAGCTGTGTGGTGATACACAACATCTGTGGCCACAATGAAATTATAACGAGTTGATTTAGGGAAGTCTTCATGGAGATTCTCTCCCCAAACCAGCTTTTTTACTTCAGGCTTGTGAACATTAATGTTCTGTGTGTTCTTTGTAATATTGTACTCCAAGTTTTGAAGTACCTCAGGCAAGTCAGTAGCAGTAACAAAAGCACCTGGAAGAGAAAAAAAGAGTTTTTACTATGTGGACTTCCTTAGTAAGAATGTCTTGCTTTCTTGAGTTAGCATTTTTATTGCTTCTGTTCACTGCGATTACTACATCCTTGAGGTTTCTGCCCATTGCATGTGCAAGCAGCCATTCATAAAAGTATTCTTTAAATTGTATTGTAACATCTAGATACAATTCTAAATATACTCTAACTTGAACAAATTAGAATAATCATTCATTAAAAATATCCCTTCACATATTAAGACAAATTATTGCAGATCAGGGCAGCTGGAAATTTAATAACATGTATTGGTTTGAGTATTGGATAAAGACTCCAGAAGACCAGGGTTTTGAGTCTGTGCTCGGCCCTTGGCAAATCATACTTTCTCATCTTAAAAGGAAGGCAGAGTAAATATCTGAATACACCATCCCAAGAAAGCCCGGTGATAGGCTTGCTGAAGGCATACAACAAATAAACCCCATCTTTCAGTTGTTTTATTTTAAAATACTGTAGGCTCTTCTTTACACAACAGTTTAACTCAGCTGGGATTATGACTACACAGCTGCACTCAATTGACCATGACCACCGTATTCAGTGTAGTTATGGTCAAATGAGGTGCCAAATAGTTTTTCAGGAAAAAAGTAAGTTTGCCAATTAAAGTCTAAATCAAACACTTCTTCCAAATGGAGAATGAGGAAGAAACTGAACTAGATGTCTTTGACTTCCATTGATTATAAAACAGCACTCCTTAGCCCATTGCTCAGAAGGTTTGTGACTGCTACTATTAAGAAATTTAAATGCTTATACAATGGCTAAATAGCAGTGAGTTATTTTTTTGGGAGAGAGGTACAGTCCTGCCAGATGTTTGAGTGAATGTACAAGAGAGAGAGTATTGTTTTATGCTCCCAGCTATATGTTCTAAAAATGTGACTAGATAAAGAGCATACATGTCAAACGCAGGGCTTTTGAATCAAATCCGACCCGCCACCTCATTTTATGTTGCTTTCAATAACAGGGCAACATAGTTACACAGTCTTACAATTACAAATTGCCCTTTGAAGGCTGATGCAGCTCTCGATAAGAATGAGTTTGACACCCCTGAGATAGATTATATGCGCGCACACATAAATACACACACAAACTACCAACCTAATATACTTGCTACAATGGACACCAGACCTGTTCCAGCTCCAATTTCAAGTACTTTCTTGCCTTTGATGTTGATTTCTTGTTGGTTTGATTCCAGATACTGACACAAAGCAAGAGCCTATAATAATGAATCAATAATTTTATATTTCAATTTAAAATTAAATTGCCATATCGGGTTAGTATAGGGGATGTAGAAATTTGTGCACATTTTTCCTAAGGCACACACCTATTTATACATTTTTACGTACTGTATGCACTTCTTGGAAAAATTACTCTTGAGATGCACAAATCCAGTGTCCCACTACCAGCATGACCAGTAAGTAACCTCCAAGATTCTTGGAGTTGTAAACCTGAAAAAAGTCACTTTTTACCATCTCTATTAATCAGGTGGGAAATGAATTGCCTGAAGTCTAATGTCCCACTCAGCCAGACAACATTATAGGGATACTCTGCCAGTAAACAATGACAAATGGGAAAAGAGTTATCAAAGATATATCAGGTGGATTTCATTTTTTCTTGTATAAAACTTACACCAGGCCATACTACAGCCCCGAGGCTTTCAATGGACTCATGAATGGTGATCTGGTGGCCAGCATAACAGTAATGTTCTTTGTCAAAGTAATAAGACGCCTTTGGAACCCATTTCTGCAATATTTTGAACACACGTGGTCCTGCAGAAGAGATGAAAAGTGGTCACTTAATGAATAGAAGAATTCTGTTTATATTTTGGAAAAAATGCTAACACAACTGCATCCAAAATGGCTAACAGAACAACCCTATTCAAGTCTACTCAGAAGTGCATTCATTTCATTTGATCCTGAGTAAGCAGATACCAGATTGCAGCAAAACGATTACATTTAAGTAAATAGGATTTGGGGATTAATTCTGATTCAGCAAGTTTCCACATTTTTCAGCAAGCATACATTAGCTGAAATTATGGGGATTTTTTCACACACAAAAACTGAGAAATACTCAATTATATAGTTAGTTATCATGATGAAAGGGGCTAAACACTTTACATCTTCAGTCCTAGAATTACAGATCTGGTTTTGAAATGTTTTGGAGGCTGCCAAGTCAGCAAATATTTTAGAATGAACTTTGCAGATGTATGTATTCATGTCTTAAAGTGACACCTGATTCAGATATTATAGAACAGTTGCTTTCTTCAAGTTCAGAATTTTCTTCAAGTTCTTCCTTTTCCATTACGCTTTGGACTGCATCAGGAATCAAGTGGTTCTGTGTAGAAATCATACCAGGAGTACTGTGGAAGGAACAATGACATTGTGAGGTGATGTTTTGTGTGTCTTTGTACAACAATCTAGCATTCTTTTAACAACGATTCTCCCTTTATTTACTCTTTGTGGAAAGTATCAGGCAGGATTCCGTGCCAAACTACTGCAAGCTGGACAGCAGAATCCAGAAAAAGTAGAAAAGGAAACTTTCATTTCCATCCACCACAACCACCCTCCTCTGTCCACTGCAGGGGAAAAAAGATTCTGGAGGGCTTGAAAATCTTCAGGGAATGTTGTTGTTGTTGTTTGCATCTATACGTGCTACAGCATAAAGTGGAAGGAAAGAAAGTTTTATTACTACACTGAATTTAAATCATAAATGGTTAATGCCAGTACCAAAGTGTAGATTGCTTTCTGATGAAAAGCAAAACTAACACAAAAATCTGACTAACATCTATGCACCAGTGAAATCCTTCAGATATGACATTTTTTTATTTATCACAACCATATTTTTCTATTTCTTTCAGATACCCAGATTAGCTCACATGGGCTTCACTGAGCAACTCTGAATCCAAGTTTTGGGAGAAGGTGGGCTATAGATAACATGACTTGTTGACAAAAACAAATGAGATGTTTTAAACTCATATGAGGCAGTCTTGCCAATGCTGAAACTCACATTGAGTTCTTTGACCATTATGCCATGCTGTTAAAATGCATGATTTTGGAAAGCATTGTTGTTGTCTACGTCCCACCTCGGAGCCTAAGATCTTCTGGGGAGGCCCTGCTCTCGACCCCGCCTTTATCACAAGTGAGACTGGAGCAGGGCCTTCTCGGTAGTGGCCCCCCACCTGTGGAACTCACTCCCCGGGGAGATCAGATCAGCGACCTCCCTTCTCTCATTCAGGAAAAAGCTGAAAACTTGGATGTGGGACCAGGCTTTTGGAAACTCTGGCAGCTAGAAAGAAAGACCACAATGATGGGCAAATAATGACGAAACGTAATGGACCTATGGAACTCGAAACACTGACTATGAGACTGTTTCTATTGTGCTTTTGTGTTATGTATTAATGTTTTAATCTGTTAATTGTTTAATTATTTTAATTGCTTTTATATGTATGTATTTTATATGGGCATCGAATTCTGCCTTCTTTTTGTAAGCCGCCCTGAGTCCCCCCTCGGGGGTGAGAAGGGCGGGGTAGAAGTAACAGAAATAAATAAATAAATAAATAAATTGTGTGCCCTCATGTCATCTCTGACTTACTTTAATCCTTAAACAAACCTATCACAGGGTTTTATGGGGGAGAGTTCCAGCAGTGGAACTCTGCCCCAGAGTGTGGTGGAGGCTCCTTCTTCAGAGGCTTTTAAGCAGAGGCTGGATGGCCATCTGTCGGGAGTGCTTTGAATGCAAGTTTCCTGCTTCTTGGCAGGGGGTTGGCAGGGATGGCCCATGAGGTCTCTTCCAACTCTATGATTTTATGAAAGTTTATGATTCTCTGAAGGCCACCTAGTAAGCTGAATGAGGAATGGAACTCTGGTTTTCCTGTCGTAGTCACCTGTGAATTCGCACATTGTGGTATTCCTGCGCCTATGCAGGCCAACTTCGGAACCTTCTAGAAAATTTAAAGCATTGTATCCCCCTCCTGCCCCCCCCCCTCGAGTATATAAGACCCCTGGGAGGGGCCAGCCATCAGTCCTCTTTTTTCCGCCTTCAGTAGGCTTCAACTAGTGAACCTTTGCTGTAGCTTAATCTTGACTTATTGGATTTGACTCGGACTGGCTTAACAACAAGGTACTCTATTCCCCCTCGACACGGACTGGATTTGGACTCTCTCTTTCTCTAACTCCTGCACTCTCGGACTGATCTCATGGCGACAACTCCTTTTAAAAAGTGCTCGGCCTGCCGTAATGTCCTTCTGGACAAGAATGGCCACGAGCTATGTTTGGCCTGCTTGGAGGAGGCACACCTCTCCCAGCCTTGCGTAATTTGTGCGGCATTTACTCCGCAGATGTGGCAGAACAGAGAGTCGCAATTGAAAGCCATAGTCATAGTCCAACACTCAAACCACTTTATCACACTGATAGATGGTTACAGAAATTGTAATATCCTGTGACCTGATTTTGAATGGAATATCACATTCTCCATGCATCTTCCCTGGGTGAATTTCGGCTTATCTGCTTTGTGGAGACACAAAGCTGAGGCAGTGACAGGAGTTAATTCCCATTTGTGCCCCACCTCCCTCATTTTTGCTCACTGAAAGATGCAGAACATATGAGCCAGTTTACATAAAAAACCTGTAGTCAGAGGTATTAGAATTCTGGATAAATCTTCCATTAACAGCAAAGGAGAATTCACCCTTTTCCCCAACCAAAAAAAAATCATTGAAATCTTTTGCTCAAAATCATAGCAGCAGAAGAAAGTGTAAATTCCAGTAACCCCAATTCTCTGATTCCCATAACCATCATATATGTCACCTCTGTATAAGCTCTTAACAATCAATTTATATTCTCATCGCCCTAAATTATTTAGTGCCATTAACAAACCTGGGCCTCTCATGACTCATTCTTAATGCCAGCCTGTTCATGAACAAGCTTCAAAGCACACAGTGTAGATGTCTACCATAGGAGCCGCGGAAGCCCATCACCCTTTATTGTGGGAACATACCATTTATTCCTGCTCTCTGCAACCTGTTCTCTAATCATTTTCAGTTCCCAAGAATATCTTCTCATATCCCATTGTTAAGTTTGTTCATCGTATCATCAAAAATCTTTTGTAACTTCAACCAGAATAGTCTACTGGCTCAGTCCCTTTATCCGGATCTCTTTACCCAGGTTGGCCCCAAATCTCCAACCCCTAGGAATGCTCTCACGCACCCTACTCTGGTTCCCCCAATTATTCCCTTGAACTGGATTGCTAGGTCTCAAGGTGTCTTCGATAAATGTAGATTTGTGTATGTGTTTAGGTTTGACAGCCAGCCAGAGACATAATTAAAACATTAATAGATTTATTGAGCACAGCAGAAAAATATATGAAACTCTCATTCTATTCATAAAGTTCCCTCAAACCATAGAGTTCTCCTTTCTTTCCTAAATCCAAAACTGTGTCTGTGTCAGGTCAACTTGCTCTCAGTTCCAACTTCAAACAGGCCTATATGAAATCTACACCGTGACTGCCTTCAAGTCTAATTAGTGCCTCAATTCCTCAGATTTTACAGTGGAATAGTGATGGGATGCCATTGCTGGGTTTGTTGGAGTGCTTTTGCATGAAGATGTAAAGTAGTGAGTAGTGCTTCCTTTTGCATCCTGGTTTAAATGTGTTTTCAATCCCAAATAATCAGCCATGGAAGTGCTTTACTTATTCATTTTGGATTTATGCCATGTTGGGATCAGGGAACTACTAGTAAACGTGCTTTGGGTATGTGTTATGCTATGACCAAGTTGAAGCATCCAGGGGAGGAGGGTATCCAAAGTGCAACTAACAGCAGAGCCTAAGAAGTCAGGTGGAAATATGCATTGCTTTGAACTAGGATAAAAAACCTACTTCTAAAGTAAAGCTAGGGAGTAATATCAAAAGAACAAAAGTTATTGAAACAAAATTTACGTTTGCCTCATGGCCCTTCCACAGTCATATAATGCAGAATATCATGGCAGATAATCCACAATATCTGCTTTGAACTGATTTTTTCCCCCATGTCAGAAGCGACTTGAGAAACTGCAAGTCACTTCTGGTGTGAGAGAATTCGTCATCTGCAAGGACATTGCCCAGGGAATGTTTTACTATCTTATGGGAGGCTTCTCTCATATCCCCGCGTGAGAGCTGGAGCTGACAGATGGGAGCTCACCCCACTCTCCGGATTCAAACCACCGACCTTTCAGTCAGCAGTCCTGCTTGCACAAGAGTTTAACCCATTGTGCCACTGGGGGCTCCTTTTAAACTGAATTATCTGAGTCCACACTGCCATATAATCCACTTCAATTTGGCTTCTATACAGTTGTGTGGAAGGGGCCTTAGCTAGCTTAAAAATCCTTTTAAATAATACAGTGCAGCTAGAGTATTTGTGATAGGAGTAGCATTACCATTCAGTTTGTTCATTCATTTGTTAACTTTTACTGCATTGTCTTAATTTCAAGATGAGTACTTCAACATGAACCACACATACATTTATACAGATGGATCTTGCAGCAACTTAGAGACTAGCTGAGAGAAGGAGGTTTTATAGTATAAACTTTTTTAGACTCCGGGCAATCTACATTGACCAGTGAAGACACAGTGAAGCCTACAGAGGAGGAAGTGCTTTCAATGTGGGAATGATATACATGAAGCCCTGGAAATGGGTCAAGTTCTAGGTGGTGCTTATACACACCACAGAGGATGGCTTTGACCTGGTTACACAACCTGCAGGATCTACTGCTTCATGGCTGTGGAGGAATCCCCAGCCATCTATTACAATGTGCATTTGTGGATCACCAGAGCAATGTGCTTACATTAAAGTGCATTGATACACATTGTAGGCTCTATTTCAGAGTATCCCCTACCTTGTTTATGTCAGATTTAGCATTTAATACTTGCATTAATAGAATCATAGAATCATACAGTTGGAAGAGACCTCGTGGGCCATTCAGTTCAACCCCCTGCCAAGAAGCAGGACAATCGCATTCAAAGCAGCCCCAACAGATGGCCATCCAGCCTCTGATTAAAAGCCTCCAAAGAAAGAGCCTCCACCACGCCCCGGGGCAAAGAGTTTCACTGGTGAACAGCTCTCACAGTCAGAAAGTTCTTCCTAATGTTCAGGTAGAATCTCCTTTCCTGTAGTTTGAAGCCATTGTTCCGCGTCTTAGTCTCCAGGACAGCAGAAAACAAGTTTGGTCCCTTCTCCCTATGACTTCCCCTCACATATTTATACATGGCTATCATGTCTCCTCGCAGTCCTCTCTTCTGCAGGCTAAAGCTCTTTAAGCCGCTCCTCATAGGACTTGTTCTCCAGACCCTTGATCATTTTAGTCACCTTCCTCTGGACACATTCCAGCTTTT